TTTTGTCAAAATTTAACAAACCAGGGGTATTGAGAATCAGGATGTTACACACTTCTTTCTTCAACGATTTTGGTTGTGAGGGTGTATCTTGAATGTGTGAGGGTGTATAGGGGAATGTTTATGTGTCAAAGTCGAACCAACATGGCTCATTCTCTTGTCTACCATATTCTCATCATTTCTCTTTTTTCTTTTTTTTTTCTTCTCCGGGTTACTTTATGCACCTCTTCCTTTTTATTTGCACTCCTACTTTTGAAACCACATCGTCATCATTTTGCAAGTTTAGATTGACCGTGGTGCATCGAGATTGGTGATAGAAGTCAGGTTAAAAGTAATTTACGTGATTGTGGGGATAAGTATGAAGTAACCAACATGTATTATATTTTATGGATTTTTAAGGTGTTAAGAACAAGGATATTTTCCTAATAAGATATGAGTTTAACTTAGATATAGACATGGATTCACACCACTCTTAATCCAAAATCATAAGATATTGGATTATAGGTTATACTTTTTAATATGTTGCTCAATTTTTTCATTTTTATTCAATGTGAGATTTAACTTACATTTGAATTACCTAATTTCTAAAATGACATTATTTTTTCTAAAACGTAATATAGTGTTTTAGAAGTACCTTTCAAGTAACATATTAACCGTTTGACAACTTTCCAATGCTTCCTTTTTAGATTGAACATGAATCTACTAATAACTCTCAATACATGACAATGTTTAGTCTTGTGCATACATTAAACTATCGACTATAGATACATAAAGAACCTTAGTCATTATTATCTTGTCTTCATCTATCTTAGGTGACCTTTCTTGAGTGAGATTAAAGTGAACTCTCAAAAGTATATTTATTATTTTAACATCTTACATATTGAATTTCTCTAACACTTTCCTAATACACTTCTTTTGAGATAATATTAGGGAATTCAAATTTGTTTTTGTTGATATTCATATCCAAAATCTGTTTTTCAATATCTAAATCTTTCATCTCAAATTCTTTAGACAATTGTATCTTTAATTTATTAATTTCATCTATATTAGAACCTACAACTAACATGTCATTAATATACAATAGTAATATAATAAAAGATGAACCAAAATTTTTCATATAACAACATTGATTTATGACAAACTTCTTGTACCATATTCTACTCATAAAACTATCAAACCTCAAGTACCAATGTCTTAGTATGTATTTATTTCAACCCATACCAACTCTTGATCAACTTGTAAACCAAGTTTTTTTCCCCTATAACTTGAAAATTCTCTGGTTGCATTATGTAAATGTCCTCATCAAGGTTATCATGTAAGAATGTTGTCTTAACATCTAATTGTTTTAGATGTAAATTCTTCACAGTCACAATACTCAAATAAGTCTAATGGTAGTTATTTTAACTTAATGAAAAAAAAATCTCATTATAATTGTTGAAAGTCCCACATCGCCTACTTCATATCATTTGGTATGGTTTAAATACATGTTAGGCTACTCCACATATTGTCAATTGGTTTTATGTTGGAACCTTAACAATAGTCAATACCTTTTTTCTGCTGAAAGTCTTTTACTACTAACCTTATCTTGTATCTCTTGTTATTGTTATGTTCTTCCTTTCAAATATGATTTGATATCTTTGAACATCCAACATACCCACAAAGATTAACATTCTCTTGAGTCCAACAATATATCTGACATCCTTCAGAGTCCATATTATATTTGTAGATGTTTTAAGATTTATATCTCTCATATCTGTGATGTCTAAAGTTTCATCATCTACTAAGCGTACTTTGTCAAAATTTCTACTTCTAAATTTTTTTATCAAGTCATTGCTAGGAGAAGCATAGAAAGATGCACCACAATACATGATCTAAGATTCAAACTTGCTCTCAATACAACGTATCAACACATTATCATTGTCTTCTTCTGCTGTATTCATTGTATTGTCATGTCTTTTTTCTTTAAGAGGAGTACATTGGTTCCCTAAAGTGTCCATTCTGCTGACAACCAACAAGTAGTATTCTTGTGAGATTTGTACTATCTTTGCTCTTTGGACTTTGATCTACCACGTTCAAAGTCTTACCCTCTTTTAGGTTTTTTACCTCTATTTTTGGTGTTTAATAAGAAATTTGTTGATTCTTTAATATTTCTTATATGAACATCTTCATTAAAGATTAAATCCCTAATTTCTTCAAAGGTTAATTTTATAGTCCTAGATTATTGGTTATTGTTGTGACAGTCCTTAACTAATTATAAGGCAATGCAGATAGCAATAATAGGGCTTGTACTTCATCATCAAATTAAATATCCATTGACACTAATCTTGACAATAAGGAATTAAATTCATTCACATGATCTGTAACACTAACACCTTCTTGCATTTTCACATTAACTAACTCACAAATAAAAAATATCTTATCTGATGCTTATGACTTCTAGAAGTCATGACAGTTCCTGACCAACTATCAGGTAACAAAGATAGCAATAACAGACTTGTATTTCATTATCAAATTTAATATCCACTTACGCTAATCTTGATAATAAGGAATTAAATTCATTCACATGATTTGTAACACTAGCATCTTCTTGCATCTTTGTATTAATTAATTGATGTCAAAAATACTTTATTTGATGCTAATGGTTTCTCGTATATGTTTGATAATGCTTTTATCAAACCATATGTCGTTTTCTCGTTGATGAAGTTGTAGGTAACATTTTTCGTCAATGTTAATCTGACGATGTCCAAAGTTTATTGATCTAGCAATTCCCAATCTGAGACATTGTTTTGGGTTTATTGTTCTTAGACAAAGGTTGATAACTCTTTTTCTGATAAAGATAATCTTCAATTTGTATATTTTATCAAACTATATGTCGTCTTCTCGTTGATGATGTTTTAGGTAACATTTTTCGTCATTATTAATCTGACGATGTTCAAAGTTTGTCGATCTAGTAACTCCCAATCTTCCTGAGATATGTTTTCTTTTTTTATTCGTAGCAAAGGCTGACACAATTTTTTCTGATAAAGATAATCTTCTGTATTTTCCAAAATCTAAAATTATTTTTATCAAATTTGTCAATCTTCACTATTCCGTCTTCTACCATTACTCCCATTCGCATGAAAAAAAAAACTCTTAAATACCAGTTGTTGGACATTTTCGAGTGGGCTTAATAATAAGGAGATTCTTAAATAAGAGATTGATATTACTCTTATCCCAAAATTTTAAGGTATTAAAGATATGAGTCACATTTCTTTATATATTGTTTAATTTTCTTATTCTTATTTTATTTAATATGAGATTTAATTCACATTTTAATTACCTAATCTTGAAATTAGTGACGGGAGCTATAATACAATGTCTTACGCGTAAGCTTGTTTAGTCTGAATAGTTTTTTTTTTTTCAAATTGCAAAAAAAGTTTTGGATTATGTTTTCCAGATGGCACCAGAATAGTTTATCAAAACCTGTACAACTTACATTAATGACTTATTATTGTTTTAATGTATGAATGTTTGTGAATTATGCATTAGTTTAAGCATTTCTATCCCTATATATAAACTTATCAGTTATATTCGAAGTTCAAAATCTTCCCGAGAATTGATTGTAGAGAATAAAATAATTTATTATTTAAAAATATAACTAATTATCTTGATGAATAATTTTGATAATTCACATGATCTCATAAATAATAGATTATCCTTACTCATATGGATAACCCTAAATCTAAACCCTGATTGTATGTTTAGAATTCTAAATTTACAAATCAATTATTACTTGAAATAATGAATTAAATTGTTCTAGATAAATTTTTTATTTTTATTTAAATAATCAATTTAATTATGTTTTTCGAAGCATTTTAATTATGCTTCTTTTTCTAAAGAAGAAGAAATGTTTGAAATCAATGCATATCATCTTTTGTTTAAGGAGTGTTTCCAAGATGTCTGTAACATTAAAGTGTTATATCGTTGAGCATTCTAGTTTTCTAGTAAAACAAACATTGTAGTTGATGATAAAATTTGCTAAGCATGCCAATATTTTTTTTAACAAAATATGATGCTACATGTATATTTTTAATAAAATAATATTATTTTTATTTTTATTTAAAAAATAAAATTAACCTAATTTAGTTTAGTTTATAAATGATTTAGTCTTTATCTAATCTATTTTTTAGTTTTGAATCAGTGTATTAATTAGGTGTATTTTGATCCGGTTTTCAATTCTTTGAATTTATTATTTGCGAATGAGTTATTCCGTTAACCACGCCCTTCAATTCTTTTAATTTATTATTTGTGAATGAGTTATTCAAAAAAATTTCAGTAGTCTATTATTTTAAATCAATTTCTAAACTTCATTTCTAAATTTTAAGATAGAGTTTATTTTGTATAAAAATATATTAAAAAGTAACAAAAAAATTTAATATTACTATACTTTTATCACTATTTTTTAATCGACTATATTCTTTGTTATATTTTACATAAAAAAATTAAAATGGTTGGACTTAACTGAGGTCCAACAGGTGAAACAGACAATAGAAAGGAAATAGAGGCTGTCCAGGACAACTCCGAGGAGAAACGTCTAAAAGGCAAAACGAACCTGAGATTCTTGCAATAGGAGAACAAAACATCAATACTCAAAACGGACAGTAACTTGCAAGTGAGAATCAGTGAAGCACGGAAGTGTTACCTAGGTGCGTTATGAATAAATCGTGACCTAGAAACAAACCAATGTCGTTTTTAGTTTATTTTTTATTTATTTTTTAATTCTAACGTCCAACAGAACTCTCCAGTGTCCGAATTTATGATTTTACTCGCGATTATGATAAGCATGTTTGTACCATTTTCAACTTTTGTTAGTTGCCGATTTTATTTGCCCTAGTTTACGTAGGAAATGCTGAAGTTGTTGATTTTGCAGTGAGCTGCATTTGTTAACTGGAATGTTTTCACCTGGGTACAGGTAAAACAGTAGATTAGACCCATTAGGTTGAGTTCAAATTGAAAGAGACAAGATGGCTGGGCAATCTAACCATGAGCTTTCACTGTTTTCAGCAGAGGAAGTATGCCATTTCTGTTACCATATCTTTATCTAATTTACATTTTTAAAAAATATTAATATATTGTAATGTATATTATGGTTTTGCCTGTCACACAGCTTGAGTTCATTGCTGAGGATGAGATCGTTGACATTGTACCGAATCTCAAAATGGGACCTCTCAATTTCATTTCTGTAAGTCATAATTCAAACACGCCAACTCTGGTTCTTTTTCAAATACGTACTCATTACCCTTTCTTTATTTATTAACAATGGCAGGGGGATTTTGGCCCATTTACGCCACAGATTGTTACTCAAGTACCGCTGTGGTTGGCCATTGCTCTCAAGAAGAGAGGCAAGTGCTCCATTCGCCCTCCCCTGTGGATGTCCGTCGGTGAGCTTCCTTTTTTCTTATTCTTCCTCCTCTTCTCTCCTGCTCTAGCCCCCTCCCAACAATCTAACAATGACAATGTTTTAACTGTGGACATATCCATAAGTTAGAGGTGCTGTAATATTGTGAAAGAAATTTGAAGAACTTTTTCATACTTTATATTTTTGTTTCAACAACTTCAAGGTAGTTTCAACAGATATGCCATTTTGGGTCCTGAACTCCTGATATTTAGCTTGGTTTGTAATGTGAATAACTTTTTTCTTTTAAAATTTTTCTTTCCTGCTGGTAGTTGATAATCAATGTAGGTGAGAGTAGTACTGCTTTTCGATAGTTGGCTAGTTTAAAATTAATGAGAATGTTATAGTTGTGATCAGGTAAACAGTAAACGTTGCAGGAAATAAATACCTAATATTTTCCAATCATTTTTTTGTGACTAGAGAAGTTGAGTCAAGTTCTGGAGGCAGAGCGAGACTCTCAAGAGATGTCAGATCAATTGCCATTTCATTATGTGGAAATCTCAAGACTTCTTTTTGATCAGTAAGTTTAGAGGCACTAATATCTTTTTTTGTTACATGATTTTATTTTACTATATTAACTTCCTTTTTTTTGTTAAATTTTCAGTGCTCGTGACAACATTCCTGATGTATATATGGTGAGGTCTCTTATTGAAGACATCAGAAATGTAAGGTTTCATAAAGTTGAAACTGACTTGGAAGCATTTAATGGTCGTACAATTGCTGTTAAGGTAGTATTTCTTGCATTGTGCAATGATTTAATTTTTTATCTACTGAGAATTATACACAACCATCATATACTATGTTATGCTCCCGTGATTTGTTGCTTTTCGGTTTACTGCTAGGATTTATCTAACAAACAATCATATATGAATTCTTCATTTCATTCAAATTTAAACTTGTTTATGGTCCTTGTTGGAAGGTAGGGATATAACCCTTCTCTGTATAAAGATAACTGACGAACAAGTTACACAATTTTCAAATCTCTCATTTGTGCTTCTGCTACCAATGTTGTTCAAGTAAGTGTCCATCTGGCTAAATTTAAGAAAACAAAAAGTGAAAAATGAAGACAGATATGAATATAACAATTTTGTCCTGTCAGTTACATATTGCAACAATCAAAATCTTTTGAATCCAGGATAGGTTTTAAAGTTTGAATCTTTAAGTTTATTTTGTGCGTGTTGAATATAGAAGAAATAGAGTTTGGGATTAATCTCCCTTGTGTATAAATCACACATAGGGTAGTCTATTTATAGTAGAGAGATACAACTAAAAGAGTAACTGAAAGTAACAGAATAAACAGAAGATATTGTTTGATATTATGGTTAATATCTAACAATATCTTAACAATATTAAATAATATCTAAACAATATCTAACACTCCCCTCAAGCTTGGAGCATACAAATCGTATGTGCCAAGCTTGTTACAAATATAATCAATTCTAGGACCCAGTAAAGATTTAGTAAAAATATCTGCTAACTGATCACTTGAGTTAACAAACTCGGTCTTGATGTCTCCGAGACATAATCTTTTCTCGAATGAAATGACGAGTCAATCTCAATGTGTTTGGTCCTCTCATGAAAGACGGGATTAGAACTAATATGAAGAAGCGGCTGATTGTCACACACAAGTGACATTTGAGTGACATCTCCAAATTGTAACTCTCTAAGCAATTGCTTGAGCCAAACAAGTTCACAAGCAGCTGAGGCCATAGCTCTATATTCGCTTACGCACTAGATCTTGCCACAACACTTTGTTTCTTACTTTTCCATGAGACCAAGTTACCGCCAATGGAGACACAATATCCGGATGTAGATCTTCTATCGGAAGGAGATCCTGCCCAATCGAGCATCCGAGTAGCAAACAACTCTTGTATGGTTATTAGAATCATATAACAATCCTTTTCCAGGAGATCTTTTAATATACTTTAAGATACGAATGATCTGCATTCCAATGATCTTCACATGGGGAATTAAGAAATTGGCTTACCACACCGATCGCAAAGGAAATGTCGGGACGAGTAAGCTGTAAGATAATTCAATTTTCCAACCAATCTTCTATACTTGTTCGAGGATCAGGTAAAAGCTCCCCTGATTTGGTAAAAGTTTAGTATTGGGATCCATGGGCGTATCAACGGACTTTGAATTCATCAACCCAGTTTCCTCTAAAATATCCATGGCATACTTCCTCTCGAGATATAACAATACCATCATTGGATCGTGCCACCTCAATACCCAAGAAATATCTAAGTTTGCCAAGATCTTTGGTCCGAAAATGGTGACAGAGATGTTGTTTCAAGCTGAGAGATGCCATGGTTGTCACTACACTGTAAGAACGATGTCATCAACATATACTATCAAGTAAACACATCCGAGCACTTGAGTGTCGATAAAAGATAGAGTGATCTGCTTCACACCGAGTCATACCAAATTGTTGAACAACCTTGCTAAACTTTCCAAACCAGGCCCTAGGAGACTGTTTTAGGCCATATAGGGATTTGCGAAGACGACATACCATCCCAGAAGACTCCCACGAGCAACAAACCCAGGAGGTTGCTCCATATAGATTTCTTCTTGCAAATCACCATTGAGGAAAGCATTTTTAACATCTAGTTGATAAAGAGGCCATTGTTGAAGAAGCGGCCATGGCGATAAATAAACGAACAGAAGTCATCTTTGCCACGGGGAAAAGGTATCTCCATAATCCAAACCAAAAATTTGAGTACAACCTTTGGCCACAAGACGTGCTTTGAGGCGATCAATAGTACCATCGAGTCCAACTTTGATAGCAAACACCCACCTGCAACCAACAACAGATTTCCCAGGATCGTAACGAGACCAAATCCCAAGTTCCACTATTATGAAGAGCACTTAGTTCATCTAACATGGCCTGACGCCAACCAGGATGGGCTAAAGCTTCACGGACAGTTTTTGGAATGGTCACAGAAGAAAGAGAGGAAAGACATGTATAAAAAGGTAATGACAGTCGATGATAACTCAAACCAATATAATGAGGAGAGGGATTACGTGTAGAACGGATACCTTTTCGGAGGGCAATGGGAAGGTCAGACTCAGGTGTCACATTCGGAGGAGACAGAGTAGTTGGCACTTGAGTAGAGTCACATGGTGGTGGTTGTGATTGGTTTCGGCAACTATAAACCTGAAGAGGTAGTGAAGAAGAAGTTGACTGCGGAGTAGAATCTAATGGTGAAGAAGACACAATTAGAGGGTCACAAACAACAGGAACATTAAATGTACTAGGAGTGTTGACAATATTGGATGGAGACAGAGGTGAAGATTGACTTTTAAAATAAAAAGAGAACTCATCAAAGGTGACATCTGCAGACACAAAATAACGGTTAAGAGAAGGAGAAAAACATTTGTATCCTTTTTGTGATCTTGTAAACCCTAAGAAAACACATTTATGTGATCTAGGAGAAAGCTTGTCAAGACTAGAACTAAAATTATGAACAAAACATGTAGACTCGAAAACTTTTAGAGGTAAGGGATGAAGTGGTTCATGAGGGAATAAAATGGAATGAGGTATTTTATTATCTAGAACCAGAAGATGGCATGCGATTAACAAGATAACATGCGGTAAGAAGAGCATCACCCCAAAAATGCTTGAGGAACCTCTCCATGAATTAAAAGAGTGCGAGTTGTTTCAATAAGATGTCTATTTTTACGTTCGACTACACCATTTTGTTGAGGTGTATAAGCACAAGAAGTTTGATGCAAAATACCATGAGAAGCCATGAATTGTTTAAAAGAATGAGAAAGATATTCACGACCATTATCATCTGCGCAAAACTCTAATAGAAACACCGAACCGAGTTTGAATTTCATTGAAAAAAGTTTGAAAGATATGAAATAATTCGAACGATTTTTCATCAAAAATAACCAAGTACATCCGGAATAATCATCAATGAAAGTAACAAAGTATTGAAAACCTAAAGTAGACTTAACGCGGCTAGGTCCCCAAATGTCGAGTGAATCACGGCAAAGGGGACGAAGCACCACGTGTGACACTACGAGGAAAGGAAGTACGAATATGCTTGCCTAATTGACACGACTCACATGCCAAACTAGACAATTTAGATAAGGCGAGGGACAAGTTGCTGTAACTTGGCAAGACTTGGATGACCTAACCGAGCATGGAGAAGAGAGGAGACTCTATAACCGCACCAACATGTGTAAAGGGACGAAGATGATAAAGACCATGAGACTCACATCCTGTGCCAATCACCTGTTTCGAACTCCGGTCCTGTAAACACACGAAATTGTTGGTAAAAGAAACAACACAATCAAGAGAACGAGTTAGACGATCGATGGATAACGAGGTTAAAAGAAGACCCAGGGACATAAAGAACATTATCAATGGTTAAAGAAGGGAAAAGTTTAACAGTTCCAACACCATGAGATGATACTCTAGAGCCATCGACTAGTGTAACAAAAGGTAAAGGATCAGGAGAGGATAAAGAGGAGAACAAAGATTTGTTACCGAGTAATATGATCAGTGGCTCTGAATCAAAAACCCAAGGACCGAGAAGAAGATTGGGTCAGACCAACAAAAGATGTACTGTGTGTGCGACGGACACGAGTAGAACTAGAAGACTATTGATCCTTATACCATTTGAGAAATTTGTTGAACATAGCAGGTGTGTCCGATGAAATAGAAGAAGGAGGATCCTTAGCAGATAAAGGTGGGAAAAAATCGGTCCGAGCAAGCTGCAGTAGATCGAGTAGGACGACCATGTAATGCATAACACTTGTCAATCTTGTGACCTAGTTTGCCACAATGTTCACACTCATGTAATGCATAACATCTGGTCAATCTTGTGACCTAGCGTGCCACAATGTTCACACTTAGGACGTCCTTTTCCCTGTTTGCGAGGGCGAGTTCGATCATCACGGTGAGATACCAATGCGGAAGAATCATTAACGAAGCAGGTGTGTCGGGGTTGAGTTTTCTTGGTATACGCAAAAGAGTGGAGCAGGTCGATGTCAAGGTGGGGACAACCTGGAGAACCCAAAATCCGATCACGAATATGTGAATATTGATCGGCAAGTCCGTGTAATGCCCCTAGCATGAAGAACTTTGATCGTTGTCCTATCTCGGTGGCGGGTCGGGGAAGGAGGCAATAACTCATTGAACTCATGAAAAAGAGCATGAATTTTGCCCATATAATCAGTCATAGAATCTTGATGTTTAGAGAAAATAACATCTACAAATTTAGAACGAGACATCATAGAGACGTTGAGTATCATTGGTGTATAATAACTTGGCATGTTCCCAGATTTTTGCACATGTTTCGTAGGAACGAAAAATTTGTTTTAACGAAGGATCAAGGGTACCCTTGAGAACCACGCATAATTGAGCATCAATGGTGTCCCAACGGTCTTCCTCACCAGGAGTGAGAGTAGGTGCTTTCGGGGCAAGATGATCAAGATACTTCGACTCTTAAGCCATAATCGACGTCGATGACCATGTGGCATAATTAGGGCCGATTAACTTGTCAATGGATAAGTGCACATTAACATAGTTAGTGTAGATGGAAGGATCGGATGCGATCTGACGAGATTGGAAGTACTAAAAGGAGCGGAAGAACTCATAAAGGGCGAAGGCGATAGTGATGACGGCGTGAACCGAGTACACCGGTAAGTTCCCGGGAAGAGAGGTGGGTCACTAATGGACACGCTTAAATACCAAGTCTTTCCTTGTCGAGCTTTCCTAGACATGCACTTTCACACTACCAAATAACAGACAACGATAGCGGCGGTGGTGGCGACTTCAATACTGGTCTAAGGCGGAAAAAAAATTCAAAATAACCTTAAGCTCTAGATACCATGTTGAATATAGAAGAAATAGAGTTTGAGATTAATCTCCCTTGTGTATAAATCACACATAGGGTAGTCTATTTATAGTAGAGAGATACAACTAAAAGAGTAACTGAAAGTAACAGAATAAACAGAAGATATTGTTTGATATTATGGTTAATATCTAACAATATCTTAACAATATTAAATAATATCTAAACAATATCTAACAGTGCGGCTTGTCTCTTTCATAGTATGACATTTGTAAATTGAATGCAAGAAACCAAACAAGACAATATGCATCTCCTAATTCTTGCTGGTTGGAGAGAAAAGGTCATTAGTCTCATTACGTGTCTATTTATTTCTTTGCTGACAAATGCATCTCATAGTTCTTGGTATATTGCAGATAAAAAATTTATCTGCGATGGAAGTGAATATTGTTCGTCCATTTATTGGAAGAGCTTTACAAGCATTTTATAAGCATGATAGTCCAGAGTTGATACCAGACCCAGAGAGAGTTTCTGACAGGCGGCCCCAAGTTGTCAACAACGCCCCAAGAGTACGTTTTATATACACTTGGAAATATTTTTTGCATTCACTAATATTTGTTTATGCTTCAGGTGATAAGGGAATTTCTGTGAAGCTTTTTTTTGTTTGGAATGAGAAAAATAAAAAAATATCACACGCCTTATCTTCATTAAAAGGAAATGGTTTTCATGCGATTAATATTTGCTTTTGCAGAGACAACTACGAAGATAGTCATCATGTACCACCTTTTTGGTTACATCTCTTCTAGTATTGTAGCACTTGGCCAGCTTTAAAGGCGCATCATTCCTGAAAAATACTTCACCGCCATGTTTTTTTTGCCGTAGAAGAATGGCTTGAGACTTTGTTGAGTCTTAAGTAATGTCTCCTCAAAATATCTCATAATTATTTAATAAGAAAAGGAAAAAACACTTAATGGGAATTTACATGGTTATGCTGCAGATACATGAATGTAGTTAATTCTATTAGCAATGTTAACTATTTTATGTCTGTCTTTTGCTTGCTGTTGAAGTTTTTGAGAATGAAATATGAATGACGGGTATTGTATAGTATACTAATAACTTTTAGGTTTAAATAAGTTTCAAGTTTCACCATGACTGATTTTTGTTTTGATTACCTGGTAATTCTTTTTTTCGAATTGGTTACTCAATAAATTATAAAACGTTGACTTAAGTTCTTGAAAAAAAAATTATTTCATTATTATTATTGTTATGTTGGTGCTATAAGTAATCCTTATAATATTTTTAGATTTATCTTTTGGTTTCTTAATTTATATTTTAGTATAACAATCTATGTTTTCATCACCCAGGTAATAGAAGTAACTTAATACATATTATTCCCTTAACACTTGACACATGTTTCAATTTAATAGATAGGTAGGCAATAGAATTGACACACGTAATATAAAGGACTTAAATCAAAATGTTTAAGTTATTAGATATTCAATATGAGAAAAAAAATATTGAATACTCAAGAAACATTTGAAACATTTGGAGACTTTAAATCTATTTAACTCTATTTTTTACATAGTATTGTTAGGTAAAATGATTGTTGTGAGGCACCGGATTATGTTACAATTTATGATTTTTATTATTATATATATTTTTATTTAAAGTACTCAAAACAAAAATCAGAGGACTTCAAACTTTTTTATCTTTTTCTTATCATTGCATTGATACACATTTCATATGCAAAGCCAACCACTTTCTTGAAAGATGTAAGTTATTTAAAAGATATAAATTGTTATCACTTATATATTTTTCATCATGTCATGATGTATTCGGTAGGAGACTTAGTATATATCACTCTTTGATATTTCTTCAACCCTATTATTTGAAAAGTTATGGAATATTTAAAGACAAAAATTTGTAATATATCATGGATATGTTTTTTCCTTTTTTTAACTAAAAAGTGACATCATTTTGTGAATTAAGTAAGAATCCTAACTAGATTAACACTTCTTATGATTTAAAATTTATTTAAGCTAAAAAATATATTAAAAAAATAGAGTACAAAAAAATACAAATATGATATAAAAAGAAAATTTAAATATATTTTTAGTCCTATAAAATTAGACAATTTTGATTTTTGTCTTTGTACAAATTTCTATCATATAAAATTTGAAATAATTTTTCATAGTCCTTATTATATAATACGTAAATTTTAATTTTAGTTTTTATCATTTTTTATTTTATTTTACTCTTCCTAATTTCAAATTACAATTTTTAGTCCCTAATATTGTTTTAAGGTAAATAAATAAATTTTATTTCAAATGTCTGAAGAGTTGGTGGGAGGTGTGAAATGTGGACACTGTGTCACAATTTCAATATTCGTTACTTGACATTTTGTTGAACAAATAATACTAAAAGTAAAAAGAATTATATTAAATTTTAAAAATAAAAAAAATCACTTAAAATCATTCATATTATATTATATTATATTGGTTAAAAAATATTAAATGAATATTTATAATAGTTAAGAGAAATTTGGGTCTCAAAAGGAAATAGAAAGTCTAGTCATGGATTGAGAAATTTCGGGGAAGAAAAGAAAAGTATAGAATGCATGTGGATGATGCCAAAAATTGACTTGAACCCTTTTTTATTTATTTATTTAATAATTTTATAAATACTATTTCATAGTCTTTGCCTCCACGTCAACGACTTGTTCCCGTCTGCGTTGGTCTTCGCCATCTTTTAATGCTTGCAATTTTCCTTTTCCCCAAACACCACCTATTTCCACCGAATTTACGCATCTGCCCTTTTCACCTTATTTTTCTTATTTTCCATTCCCGTTGACTCGCCATGATACACACCAATTGTACTTTTTTTACGAAGTTAAATTTAAAATATCTCAGGATCAGTAACATAAATTGAAAAAAACATAAATCCTTTAGTTTATTTTATTAATTATATATTCATTTTAATTATTTTTCATTGTAAGAAATCACGAGACTAATTAATCTAATTTGTAAGATTATAGAAGTCTGTCTTAATTATTTTAATTAAAATTTAAACCTAACATATTTAAAGTATCATAAAAAAAATAATTTAGTTAATTAAAAAAACCATCTTTACACAAAATTATAAATTTGATAAAAAAGCTGAATATTTTTCTAAATTCTAGAAACTAAAATCATGCATAAAAATGGTAAAATTATTTATCAGGCAAGAAAGAAAGAAAGAAAAAGTAGTTATTGACTTTTCAACAAACGCAATTCCTTTGAAAAGTAAGGGTCCAAACCCGTTTTCTAGTTGCTATAAACCATTCACCCTCTTGCCAAACACGATCTCAGTGCTTATCTTCATCTTCACCCAACCACCTAAATCATTTTCAAGCCAAAACTCCGTCGAAGAAATTCCAGGGTGGTGCATCATGGAGAGAGAACAAGAGGAGATGCAATTTGTTGGATTCTTTGGTGTCTACAAAGAAGCCTCCAAGATCATACTTTCATGGAGGAGAATCTTCTCCCAAATCACCTTAACATTAATTCTCCCTCTCTCCTTCATCTTCCTCATCCACATAGAGGTCTCCAACCTCCTCTTCAGGAAGATTCTCTACAACTCAATAGTCATGAATGAGACAAAGCCTGACACACCCCGATACAACAAGCTTTCTGACATGATCTCTTCCGAATGGATCACTCTCGTGCTCTTCAAACTCGTTTACTTTACTTTGCTTCTCGTATTCTCCCTCCTCTCCACCTCAGCAGTGGTCTACACCATCGCCTCCATCTACACCGCAAAAGAGGTAACTTTCAAGAGGGTCATGAGTGTGGTCCCTAAGGTGTGGAAGAGGCTCATGTTGACCTTCTTATGTGCCTTCGCTGCCTTTTTCGCTTACAATATCGTGACCATGCTGGTTATCTTCTTGTGTGCGCTTGTAATTGGGTTTAGCACTGGTGGGGTTGTGGTTTTTGTTTTGCTAGCTGTTCTGTACTTCATTGGGTTCGTGTACCTCACCGTGGTGTGGCAACTGGCCAGTGTTGTGACTGTGTTGGAAGATTCGTGGGGGATTCGAGCCATGATGAAGAGCAAGGAGTTGATAAAGGGGAAGATGGTGCTGTCCATATTCGTATTTTTCACTCTGGTGGGGTCTTTTGTTTTGATAAGGGTTTTGTTCAAGCAGACTGTGGTGGAAGGATGGAGTGTGAATTCTGTGGACAGAACAGCATATGGTGTTCTTTGTTTCTTGCTCTTGTCTTGTTTGTTCCTCTTTGGGCTTGTTGTGCAAACTGTGATCTATTTTGTTTGCAAGTCCTTTCATCACGAGAATATTGACAAATCAGCTTTAGCAGATCATCTTGAAGTTTATCGAGGAGAATATGTGCCTTTGACGGCCAAGGATGTTCAGCTGGAGCAATACCAAGTTTGATGAACAATATAGCTTAGGTAAACTAATCAATCACCATGTGTTTGATGATGTGGTTATATCTGCTATGGTTTCTTCATTTCATCATTTGCGTGTTAAATTATGGCAGGTATGAAGAGAATTGATTCAGAGTACCATATATTTGTATTTACTTTGCTGTTTCCAAATATAACTGTGATGTGGCTTCTTTGCAAAGTGTTAATTCATGCTGTGAAATGAGTTTTGTTTATATCAGATTTTGAGTTTGTGGGTGTGATGAATGTTATGGTAAGCAGTATCTATCAGCTATGAATTTAGGCGTAGAGTAGTATGAGGCAGAGGAGAAACAGACTCATGTGTTAATTAAAAGACTCATTCATTGTTCCTTTTTGATTGGGAGAAAGGAATCATGGATTATCCATGCCATTAAATTTATTGTAATTATTATTTTTTAAATATTATCGACAACCTTTTACGTTTTCTACTGCATTACCGACAATCTTGAAAGTTCATTAGTAATACATTGTATTATTAAAACTGTTGAAATCTAGAACGAATTTATATATAAGTACTTTAAAAGAGAAAATTAAATATATTAATTTTTTTTGTCACCAAAATTAATTTAATTTAGTGTTAAAACTATAAATTATCAATACGAAAATTAAGGTAATAAATAATTTTTTAAATTGAGATAATTATCTTTTTTTTTTAAAATAATTAAGTTAAGTAATGTATTTGTTATTTTCATAAATAAATAATTATATTTTTTAATTTTTATTATTTTATGAACGGTTACTCTTTAATATAATTTTTGAAACTAATAATATTTTTTTACCTCAAAAAATTAAAAGAAAATAACTGTATACAAACTCATTCTACTATATTTTTAATTGCGTAAAGATGAAGAAGTAAAAAGGGTAACAATTACGTTTTAATGTGGCATATAACTTTAAACATATCATAACAATAATTTTAAAATAAAAAATTAGTTTATTATTTTTATTTAAAAAGTATTAAAATATAAATTACATGGAAACTATTCAAAATTACAATAGCCACAGAAATATAGAAAATAAATTATGAGTATTTCAATAAACCATATTTGTTTCCTAGTTAAATTAAATGCCATATTTAATTAAATTATTGAATGAAAAAGTAAAAATAATATACACAATTACTTTTTTTGTATTAAATATTATTTATATGTATTAAAAATCATTTAATTAACACTTTTTACAATAAATTAACTATACTTATTGATAAGAATTATAAATGAACACAGAATGGGAAAGAATGAAAAGTAACGTTTTTTTTATACTAAAACTAATAGAATTATATTTATTAGAATTAAAAAGATTAAAAAAAACTTAAACTGAAACTACAAAATTAGAGTGGTCCACTCAATTTATCTGAAAAATGAATGAATGAATTAATTGGGAATCGGGAAATTTATAATCATAGAATTAAATACTAACAAAAAGCTTATCAATATTTTTTGAAAACGATATTTTGACACTAAAAATTCATACGTTCAAAACCAAGATTTAGAGGTTAAAATAATATTTTATTAAAAATAGGGTGTGATTTATAATTTATAAAGTTTAATGAGTGATGCGATTAACGATTGAATTATTTTTTTGAGAGTGAGCAAACAATATCATGTACTTTCTTCCTCGATTTTTCGGTTCTTTCACTGTCTGTGTTCAAAGTAGTGTGATCGTCTCCGGCACCATGTAAGAAACGATAAAGAAAAATAAAAAAAGATGAAAAAAAAGACTAAGAACAAAAATAAATATATAAAATTACCAAAAAAATAAAACAATAATGATATTTTGAATATTATTTAAACTTTTATTATTTACCTTTCCATTTATTTAGAAAAACGATAAATAATATAAAATAATTAAAACAATTTATAAATTAAAAATATCTAAACTTAATTAATTAAATTTTAAATATGTTTATCAACTTTTTATTTTCAGATCAATGTGATAATATTACACTTTTTTAGAAAACCATTGTTTTTTCTTTTAAAGAAAATACTTTTTAAGATATACGTGATAATATTGCACAAATAAGTTATTGTTATTGACTTATAGTAATGGACCTGTTTAAAAAATAATTTTATTAAAAATGATATAAAATATTTTTAAAATGATTAAATAACACATTTCTCTGCATCTTAATATATATTCTTTTATTTTGTAAAAAGCGCAACATGACAGTGGTTGTATTTTCTTTCGTTAACGAGGGAATCGTGGTGACGTGTAGATGAGAAAACACTGAGAACCGACACAATCACCGCAACAAGCACGCGACGAACTTTAGATGGGTTTTCTTTGACTGTCCGCAACCTTCTAAACACTCCTTCACTTCCTTCTTTGCCCTTTTTCCTCTGCTTTCTATCGATCGAAACGATTTTCAAGGAAATAATAGAAAAGAAAACCCCTCTTAGATCCAATCCAAAATAAAACCTATCCATCAAGCTAAGACCCAAGTCCAAGTGTTGTCGATTGAATTCCTCATCTGGGGTTCTCAATGGATGCTTCGTCCTCCTCCAGTCAACCCGAATTCGACTACTTGTTCAAGCTTCTCTTGATTGGGGATTCTGGCGTTGGCAAAAGCACCCTGCTTTTGAGCTTCACCTCCGATACTTTCGAGGATCTTTCTCCCACCATTGGTTAGTTATATTCCTTTTTAAAAAATGTATAATTCTTGTATTTTGAGGTTGATATTTTCGTAATATTTATGTTGTCATGCCCCGCTTGTTAATCTTTCTATGTAGTGGTTTCTTTTGTTGTGTATTTTGTGATATAGAGTTCAATAGGTTCTATCTGACGATCGGTTTTGGAAGAAATTGGATCAAAAGTGTAGTTGAATGTTTAAAGCGTCATCTATCCAGTGAATCTGTGAATCGTAGTAATTTTACAAATTTCACAAATTCACTATACACTCTCGAAATTATAAATTGTGATGGGTTTCACTTCTTATTTATAGCCTCATCCTAATTTGAAGTGTGACTAACCAAATTTTATGATTTCTAATAAATTTCAAGCAATAATTAAAAGAGTTTTAGAGAGAATGTTGCTAGCATTTTTCTTCTTCGAAGTGATGTGGTAATTAATTAATGGAATGGGATGTGGTTTGTTGGTGTTTCCTTTCCAATTCACCAAGACATTTAGGGTTTGCTTTTCTTTTGTTAATGTGTCTCATCTTTGAAGAGCTCATTGGGATCTTGGTACTGGTAATTTTGTTAGACATGTGTTCTTGTGAGCTTAATGGGATGGCTTATTTGCATTGCAATCCAAGTTACTGGACTAGAAGTCACTGCTACTAATATTAATGGTGTAAATGAGTCAACCCAAGCCGAGCACTTGAAAGTCCAAGTTTGGTTTGCAAAAATGTACGACTCAGACCAACTGACTCATTTACTTAAATGAGTCAAAAGTTAAGATTGGCAACGACTCTTGTTTAAAAATACGCAACTTTTAGCTTGTTCATTTCTATGTGGATTAATTTAAATTTAGCATTTGACAGATATTTGTGTTAGAAGATGAAGTATAAATAAGTAGAGATGTAATAATAAAGGAGAATTTCCAAGTGAGTAATTATTATTATTTTTTTTAGAATTACGTTTTGCTAAATGTATATAGTTTCTTGTTTGAGATTAACATGTGTACACACACTTTCCCTCACGAGTTTTTAATGCCAATCATATAATGCCTGAGCTTGAGTCATTTGTATAGGTAAGCCTAAATCTAATTCGTAAGCTTAAGATTAATTGTTTGGTAAAACAAACAGCTTGATTGCGCAATTAGTGAAATTGGTTCAAATAGTTTATGACTAGATTAACACATTTACACCCCTAATTTGTACATATTTTGGCGCCCCATACACAATCAGTACGAAGTCTACTTGTGGTATGAATCACAAGGGATAATTTAGGATCTTTAGGGTTAAAACCTTGTAAGAAATTTAGGAATTAGAAAAAAGGTGGAAGGAAAGAATCACTCTTCCCAAGGGAGGCAACACACAAAGGATGTGACAGTCTTTTGATACAACCAATTCTTGAATCACTCAAGAATTTAGGAGAATCACTCTCACTAATATAAAAGAGATAAACTCTAATATTTATGAATAAAATTCCACTTGTTGTTTCTTGATAAAAATGGTTCAGCTCATATAGGAGCGTTGCCATCGAATTACAAAGACTCAATAAAGAAAATAAATACTAATAATAACTCATTAATCTAGAAATTGAAAACTATTTAATGGAAACAAATAAAGGCTAATAATAATCCATTAACCTAGAAATTGAAACTACTTAATGACTGATTGTATCTCGAAACCGTGGCAACCAAAAGTCAATCAGCCTATGCACCCCTTGGTCTCCCAAAGGTCGATGACTAAATTTTCAATTGGGCCCTTATTACAACTTAAAACAAAATCAAACTAAAGTCCATTAATTGATTAATCCAAAACACAATTTGGTCAACCAATAATACTTGTTGAAGAGCTTCCTTTGTTTCCCTTGCTCTAGCCCTTATCATAGGTCATGTTCACATCATTCTCTCCCTCTTGAAAATGATTTGTCCTCAAATCGGATTCGCCATCTACATAAAAAAGAGATAAGTCTGACAAATTGAATGTAAAATTAACATTATACTCACTTTTTATGGCTAAATAGTTCTCCCTCACTTCAAGTGTTTCACTCTTCTTTTGATCACTCTTTTTCCTCTCAAGTGTTTCACTAACGCTTTCTTTTCCTCTCTTTTCTTGAAGAAGTTTTTCTCTCATTTTCTTTTTATCCTCACACACTTCTTGTGGACTCAAATGTTTAACCACAATCTTCTTGTCTTGGTGCATGAAAGAGATCTTGTTGGTGAATCCGTTATGATTAACTCTTTTATCAAATTGCCATGGTCTCCCCAAAAGTAAGTGACTCGACTTCCATAAGAATAATATGACAAAGCACCTTATCATTGTATTTTCCAATGGAAATGTCCACTTCAACTTGTTGTCTCACTTGCACCCCTCCATCCTTACTAAGTCATTGAAATTTATATGGCCTAGGATGTGGTTTGGTAGCTAAATTTAGCTTTGATACTAATCTAGCACTAGCCACATTGGTGCAACTACCTCCATCTATGATCATCATGCACACCTTGTCATTGATTAAACATTTAGTGTGAAAAATATTTTTTCTTTGGCTTTCTTCTATATGTTTCAATGGACTATCAAGTAATCGCCTAATTATCAATAAATCTCCCTTTGGAATCTCCTCCTCCTCATCAATGTCTTCATTATTTTCTCCCTCTTCAACCTCAGATTCACTTATATATTCTCCCTCTCTAAGAACCATGGTCTTTGTGTTAGGGCACTCATAAGCATAGTGTCCTAGGCCTTGACACTTGAAACACTTCACATCTCTACTTTTTTTAGAGGGTTGTTCTTCATATTTTGAATGAGTGACTGACTTCCATAGGAATAATATGACAAAACACCTTATCATTGTATTTTCTAATGGAAATGTCCACTTCAACTTGTTGTCTCACTTGCACCCCTCCATCCTTACTAAGTCATTGAAATTTATATGGCCTAGGATGTGGTTTGGTAGCTAAATTTAGCTTTGATACTAATCTAGCACTAGCCACATTGGTGCAACTACCTCCATCTATGATCATCATGCACACCTTGTCATTGATTAAACATTTAGTGTGAAAAATATTTTTTCTTTGGCTTTCTTCTATATGTTTCAATGGACTATCAAGTAATCGCCTAATTATCAATAAATCTCCCTTTGGAATCTCCTCCTCCTCATCAATGTCTTCATTATTTTCTCCCTCTTCAACCTCAGATTCACTTATATATTCTCCCTCTCTAAGAACCATGGTCTTTGTGTTAGGGCACTCATAAGCATAGTGTCCTAGGCCTTGACACTTGAAACACTTCACATCTCTACTTTTTTTAGAGGGTTGTTCTTCATATTTTGAATGAGTGACTGACTTCCATAGGAATAATATGACAAAGCACCTTATCATTGTATTTTCCAATGGAAATGTCCACTTCAACTTGTTGTCTCACTTGCACCCCTCCATCCTTACTAAGTCATTGAAATTTATATGGCCTAGGATGTGGTTTGGTAGCTAAATTTAGCTTTGATACTAATCTAGCACTAGCCACATTGGTGCAACTACCTCCATCTATGATCATCATGCACACCTTGTCATTGATTAAACATTTAGTGTGAAAAATATTTTTTCTTTGGCTTTCTTCTATATGTTTCAATGGACTATCAAGTAATCGCCTAATTATCAATAAATCTTCCTTTGGAATCTCCTCCTCCTCATCAATGTCTTCATTATTTTCTCCCTCTTCAACCTCAGATTCACTTATATATTCTCCCTCTCTAAGAACCATGGTCTTTGTGTTAGGGCACTCATAAGCATAGTGTCCTAGGCCTTGACACTTGAAACACTTCACATCTCTACTTTTTTTAGAGGGTTGTTCTTCATATTTTGAATGAGTCTTTGTAGGAATAGGTGTGGAACTACTAGAAGTAACAGTCCCATCTTTCTTGCCTTTGTCCTTCCAACTTGAAAATCCAAAGTTGGTAGAACTCTTCTTAGTCATTTCTTTTCTTTTGAGTTGTTGCTCCACTCAAATTGCTTTATGAAGTAAATCCTCCATATCAACAAACTCATGCAACTCAACAATATCACATATATCAATATTCAAACCACCAATAAATCGGGCCATAGTTACCTCTTCATCTTCTTCAATCTTTGCTTGAATCATGAGCATGTCCATTTCTTTGAAATACTCCTCAACCCCCTTATTGCCTTGAGTAAGTTTTTGGAGTTTAAATTTCAAGTCTCTTGCATAACTAGTCGGTACATACCGCTTCCTTATAATCCTTTTCATCTCAGTCCATGTATCAACTATTGACTCTTCATTTCTATCTCTCTCCTTTTGTAGCATGTTCCACCAAACAAGAGCATAGTCAGAAGATTCCATTGTTGCAAGCCTCACCTTTTGGGTCTCCTCATAATTGTTGCATGAGAAAACATGCTCTATTTTCATCTCCCACTCCAAGTATGCCTCCGGATCACTTTTTTCTTTGAACGGAGGAATGTTAAGCTTGACTCCTTCAAGCCTACTTGGTCTTGCTACTCCATCATTCATTCTCCTATTTCTCCTTTCTTCTTCATCTTCAGGATTTCTATTCTCCAATCGGTTCAATCTTTCATGGAGCTCATTGTTATGTCGTATCATTAATCCTTCCAAATGTTGTACCAATACTCTCATTTGAAATGGTCTAATTCCTGCTTCTTGATTGTAATTTTCCTCTTCTGCCATCAATTTGATGTTTAAACCCTTAAATTGGAGCTCTGGTACCAAATGATATGAATCACAAGGGATAATTTAGGATCTTTAGGGTTAAAACCTTGTAAGAAATTTAGGAATTAGAAAGAAGGTGGAATGAAAGAATCACTCTTCCCAAGAGAGGTAACACACAAAGGATGTGACAGTCCTTTGATACAGCCAAGGGTTCTTGAATCACTCAAGAATTTAGGAGAATCACTCTTACTAATATAAAGGAGATAAAATTTAATATTTCTGCATAAAATTCCACTTGTTGTTTCTTGATAAAAATGGTTCAGCTCATATAGAAGCGTTGTCATCAGAATTACAAAGACTCAATAAAAGAAAATAAATACTAATAATAACCCATTAATCTAGGAATTGAAAACTATTTAATGGAAACAAATAAAGGCTAATAATAATCCATTAACCTAGAAATTGAAACTACTTAATGACTGATTGTATCTGAAACTGTGGCAACCAAAAGTCAATCAGCTATGCACCCCTTGGTCTCCCAAAGGCTGATGACTAAATTTTCAATTGGGCCCTTATTACAACTTAAAACAAAATCAAACTAAAGTCCATTAATTGATTAATCCAAAACACAATTTGGTCAACCAATAATACTTGTTGAAGAACTTCCTTTGTTTTCCTTACTCTAACCCTTATCATAGATCATGTTCACATCAACTTGATTGACAAGTTATGGCCATTCAGATCAGGCTTCATACACTTGACTGTTTACTGGATCTAGTAGTATATGTTGTAGCGGACTAAATCGAAATGAGGATTGGAGAGTTAATGTCTATGTGGTTCATTACATAATTATGGTGATTCTGGTGCAATTAGTTGTAAGAAAGTTGTATTTGATTCAGTCATATGTATTGATTCTTATTATCATCTTGCAGGTGTAGACTTCAAAGTTAAATATGTTACAATTGGAGGAAAAAAGTTAAAACTTGCTATTTGGGACACAGGTAATGTTCAATTTGTCAATTATAATTTCCTGAGAAGTCAAATCCCTTTTATTCTGTGTTGTTTGCTTCTGTTGTATACTTTCAAAATTGTATGAGTTAGGGCTTAAGGCAAATAACTTTTACCATACTGCTGAAGTGAGTGTGAAACTATGGAGCTCTCATGTACGTAATCGTTATGAGTTTTGGTTGCAAAATTTTCCAATTGAAATGAAATCTTTGAAATTTATTATTGAATATTTCGTTGTTGGGTCGTTAACATATATTAGGATGTCACATAAGGATTTTGAGATCAGGATAAATCTTAATGCTCGACTTTAAACAGAATTAGGAAAGTTCTGTGATATTGTTTAAAATTAGCATACTGGAATGTATATTATCTTTGATATTGGTGTCGTTAATTGATTAGTATATTATAGAATTATATTCCAAACATATTTTGTTGATATTGTAGCATACTGAAAATATTCAATGTATATATAAGAGAACATGTAATGCTTTGGCTATTATGTGCATTATCTGGCTTATATACAGAGATAAGCAGCTTCTGATATACTGAATTCTGCTCTTGCTGTTACAAATTTGTATAACTTGTGCCTTAAAGAAGTCAGGTCAACCTTCATTGGAATAAGTTAATTTCAATACTTTGTATTTTCTCTTCGTGCAGCTGGACAGGAAAGGTTTAGAACACTTACTAGTTCATATTATAGAGGTGCTCAAGGAATAATTATGGGTATGTTCATGATTTTCTCCATTACTTGGCTATATTTTCCGTTTGCTATCCAATTCATATGTTGTACACTTAATTTATTATTTGTTTAATTTTCGGTATCTTGTTGATCTGTAAATCATACAAGATGGCTCTGTATACGACGTAATATTTCTATTTTATCACTTACGAATATATATTGTATTAATATAACAAACTGGTGATTAAAATGGATTTCAATGATGACATGTATGATGTCATTGTTTTCTTTGATGAGTTGCATGAGTATGGTGCTTAAATGCTAACTTTATTCTCGTGCATAAAGCACACTTTGTCAAAATGATTTTTGCAAGATTATTATATATGATGATCTGTGCAGTGGTAAAGTTGCACCTTGATACCTTCATAGTGGGCACCTTGGTAACCTTGAATTTCAGGAAATTTTTTTCAAATTGAAAATATGGTAAATCAAATGCAATTTCAATGAGAATGTTGGAAATATTTATTAGAATATTTTCAGCTGTTAGACCTGTTTTGCTTCCCAATATGATGCGATTGTTTAAAGTTTTTTAGCATAGAACTACATTCTTGTTGCAGTTTTATATTATAAATCTGCTTTTATTTTATTACAGTATATGATGTTACACGGCGAGAAACTTTTACAAATCTATCTGATATATGGGCTAAAGAAATTGACCTTTACTCAACAAATCAAGATTGCATCAAGATGCTTGTAGGAAACAAGGTTGATAAGGTATGTTGTTAGTAATTTTTTGTGTATCTCTGTTCTGACAAATTGTGAGGGTCAGTCTTGATTCACTAATTCTGTAAGAATTTTTGTGTTGCAAATTCTGCTCTTGTGAGCTGGCATATTTGAAGTAGACATGAAAGAAAGTAATCCTCACCCTAATAGGCTCATATTTCAGGAAAGTGAAAGAGTTGTCACCAAAAAGGAAGGGGTAAACTTTGCAAGGGAATATGGATGTCTGTTTACTGAATGCAGTGCAAAAACCAGAGTCAATGTTGCACAGTGTTTTGATGAACTTGTAATGAAGGTACACATACAATGCAGCTCTTCCTAAATCCTCGAAAGAAGGAAACAAGGAGGGGGACACTGAAATAATTAAGATGGTTATTATTGCTATATTTGTGTCCTTTGGTGATATCTTTTCATAAAATATTTATGGAAAAACTTAACTTCATGCGATGAAATGAACAGTAACTTGGGAAACTATGATAGAATGAATAGAATAAGCCTTTTGTTGTGTAGGATACAAGCTACGGGAATGGTTGAAAAGATATTTTATTAGCCAATAGAGAGATTCTTTCTTTTATAACATAAACAAAAGTTACCCATATGCAGCAGTCATTAAACCTATTATATGGGGGATATAATCCCATCAATAAACCAAATCCTGGCCCTTGTGAAAGTGTAATCTTAGTTGTCTGAGATAACTTGAACCAAAGAAACAATGGAAAATAAAATATAAAACAACTGACAATATTGAGAACACTAATTGCACTGAAATGGTGTTCGCAATATCAATATCGGTGGCCAGAATTGCAGCTCTGTTTATATTTAAATGGAGTACCTTTGTCCTTTACTCCTTACCTCTAAGAAATGCAGGCAACTCGATGGGGTAAAAGCTTCAAATGGCTAATTGTAATGTAGCAAAATAACATTTTTGGTGCAGGCTTCTCAAATACCCAATTGTTTTATCCCATACGTTTTCTGCAAAAATACTATATCTCATTGGACGTAGATTGCAAGATTTACTTTTTGGCAATTTTTGTCAAGAGAATTGAGGGTGCTGTAATGTGCTCGCCTCCTCCCCCCGCTTTACTTCAAGTTATTTGCATCAATAAGAATTCATCACCCTCAGAAAAATGGAAGAAATGTTTAGTTTGAAATTTGGGTTACTTGTTTATCTGCAGATTCTGGAGACACCAAGTCTTTTGGCTGAGGGCTCATCTGGTGTAAAAAAGAACATCTTCAAGCAGAAAGCACCACAGTCTGATGCATCAAGTGGTGGCTGCTGCTCATGATGATTTACATGTTTCAGGGGCTTTCACCTTCTACTTCTCGGTATGATCCGGATTTCAAGTGCAATTAATTCATTACATGTACCAAAATAATATTTTTATCACAGGATGTTATCAAGATTAAATTATTTTTCTTCTCAATGAATTTACCTTACGTTTAAAGATCTCCATTTTATTTTGTGTGAGCAGACATCTGGTGATTCATAGTTCATATTGCCCTTGCATAAGAAAAGCGTGCTTCATATAATAGGGGAAATTTTGTGTGTCGACAAATGCTTAACAGTTATTATGCTACCATTGTTTCGAACACTGTCACTGCATAAAAGTTGTATGAAACATTATAGATTTATTTAATCTGTAACCCTATATGCAGATAGGGCAAATCCGTAAATTATAGCCATGATCCACTGTATTTGGTGATTAAACTAACAACAAAATGGTCATATGACTATGTGTACATATTCTTAATCAGAAGCGTTTCACATCATTGCCATTTCATGATGCTGATAAGGATTGATTTGTCTATGGAAACAAGAATTCTGAGGTGAGAGGTTATGTAACCTCTCGACAGTTGGTATTTCTTTTAAATAAATTTAAAAATATTTTACACTATTAAATTCTACCAAGTGCATGCTTATATTATTAATTTGTAAAATACAGTTGTGCTCGGAAAAAATGTGAACACAATATAATGGACAATGCTCCCACAATAAAGAAAATGTCAACGTAATCATTTGATGTCTGGTGTACACAGTCCATTATCTGCATGTCATACAAATACAACGTTCTGATTCATATTGTCACTACCTCGTTTGCTTTAATAAAATTTTACTGGTGGGGAAACATATTGATTCTCTACTTAATTCCTTCAACATTTTTTTTTGTCCAAATACTTAGCAGTTTATGATGGATTTTAAAACTTTGTAAGTCTATCTTTTGGAATTTTAATTAAATTTAAAAGATTTTGTCAGATGTCATTGTTAAATAGGTAACAAAAACATAATTAACCTAGGGAACGTTAGGAAACAAAAAATTATAAAAATTATAAAAATTATAAAAATTATAAAAATTATAAATATTCAACATTACTCGTTTGAACATACTTTTAACTTTTAATATCTGCATTTTAAAATTCTTCAATCTTAGTCCTCCCTCCCTCCCCCTCTTTCTATAAATATTTTTTTTACATTAAACGGCATAATGCATATACATAGAAAGTAAAAGTAAATCGTATGAGTAGTACAAACTAAAATTTATAATTTGAATGACATCAAAGAATTTTCTTGATGTGCAATTGGCAATAATTGAGGGCATACAAATTTATACATATTATACCCATCATCAACAATTGGTTCTATGGTGTAGTGGTTAGCACTCTGGACTTTGAATCCAGCGACCTGGGTTCGACTCCCGGTAGGACCTTTTATATATATATTTTTTATAAATTCTTGATGATACAACTTTCACCTGGTAACAAAAGCAAAACGATTCTTTTCCCATTATTAATTTTGGTATAAAGTATTTCCGGATTATACAAGCCCAACAAAGGCGGAACAGAGAAAAAGCAGCACCCAGAAGTCCAAAAGAAAAGGCCCACAGACAGCTCCAAAAGCCCCTCTCCCCATTCAATTCCGAAACCAAAATGATGATGAGAGAGAGAGAGGCACTGCCACTGGGACACAAAGCGCTTAAAAAACTGTTTTCTCCCGCGAAAAGCACTTCCCGTGAAATACAATATTGCTCATCAGAACTGTAAAGCCAACACTTCCTCGTGATCTCTTCTCTTCTCTTCCATTCGTTTTCCTTGTCACTTTCTCTCTATTTTCTCCTCTTCGCTTCTCTTCTCAGCTTTGGGCATTGCCACGCACGATGGTGAAGGAAACGGAGTACTACGATATCCTCGGGGTCACTCCCTCTGCCTCCGAAGACCAAATTCGCAAGGCCTATTACCATAAGGTTCTTCACTTTAGTTCTATCAATTATACCTTCATTCCTTCATTTAACTTCCCCCCTTTGTTTTAATTGCTTGGTTACTGCCACAGGCAATGCAAGTTCATCCCGATAAAAACCCGAACGATCCTCACGCTGCCGAGAAGTTCCAGGTAGCTCCACCTCCACTGCAATCTCTCACGCTTAACTATAATTTAATCCGAATGTGCTCATCTAATCATAGATTGCCCGGAATAATTAATTTAAACTATATAAAATTCTTATCAAAACCAATTTCTAATTGAGGGTGATCAAAATAATAATAATAATAATAATAATAATAATAATAATAATAATAATAATAATAATAATAATAATAATAAAAATAAATAAAAAATAAAAATAAATATTATTATTAATAGTAGTGATTCAGTGTTCTTAAATACTGTTATATTGATTTTTAACTATATATAATCTGTAATGATATCATGATTAGTTTGGATGAGTTGCAACAGAAGCATTTTTAGAAAAAAAAAAGTTTTTCTATTATCAAATTATTTTTTTAAAGAAATTATAAAAAGGAACTTTTATAAATTAACTTATATACGAATTTTATTTATGAGTTGATTTTAATTTTTTAAACGCTAAAAAGGCTTACGAGGAAGTTCGTACAAATAATTAGTTATATTTTTACGTATTTATATGTTGTAATATTTTGTGTCTGCAGATATTAGGTGAAGCGTACCAAGTTTTGAGTGATCCGGTGCAGAGGAAAGCGTACAATCAAAATGGGAAACATTCTGTATCAAGGTACATATGATTCTGCTGATTTTCAGCTTAAATCCGTTCGATGTTGAACTTTATTGTATATGGTGACAATCTGAGTTGATTAGCTTCAATTATTGTGATGAATTGATTAAAAGAAAGTGATGTTAGGCCTCATTAGCGTTCAATGGGAATGGCAGTTTTATCGAAAGCCTCGGGTACATAATTGTTATTTTGATTTGTGCATAGGCATCTGAGTCGCAATCTTACTTGTTTGACTGGAAACAGAGTACAATCTGGGTTAAGTGAGTCATAACGAGAAAGAAAAATAAGGAGGAGGCTACAGTCGAATAAATAAAAATCAAAAGACAATCAGAATACGCCCCGTTTTACAGTCTTTAGGTTGCACTAGTATAAATAATTTTATTAAGGATTTATTTAATAACAACTTTAATTGTAGGAGAACCATAATTTAGTTAAATTATTTTGATCAGCTTCGTAAAAATATACCTGAAATAAAGTTGAAATAACTTATAAGATGGTAAGCTTTCTAAATTATCCACTAGAATTGGCCTAGTGACTGAGGATCAAACATAATATTTTAAAAGTAAAAGTGTTCTGAATCGTGATCTTCCCTGAAGAAGTTTGTTTTTAAAAAAAAAAAAAAAAAGATTAATGAATGAATTCCTTGACAGGGAAACTATGCTTGACCCCATGGCTGTCTTCGCCCTGCTATTTGGAAGTGAATTGTTTGAGGACTACATAGGGCATCTAGCTGTGGCATCAATGGCTTCTTCTGAGCTAGCTGATGAAAGTGAGGATCCTGATAAACTGAATGAGAAGTTAAAGGCAAGAAAGTTTTACATTTATTTTTCATTATTACTTTGACTCTGTTTATGTGTAAGAGAAAAAAACTCAAGTTCTCGATTGGGCCTTTTTACGTTGTTGTAATCAGGTCTTCCAATGTTGGGTTTCCGGAACACACAACATTTGCACACTTTCTCTTATTATGAGAAATAAATGTATCAATCTGGGAACTTTATCGAATTTGTAGAAGCTGATAATTTCGGTTTACCGTGATATTAACAAAAATTTCTGGCCACATAGTGCCTTCTCCTTTCCTTTCAAATGGTGCAACTTTGTTCTGAAAATCAGAATTTATCATAAGTGAGACGTTTTGATTTATTATTGATCAACACAAGGAAATGTGGATTTTGTGAACTTAGAACTAGAATGCTGAAGTGATGAAGATTAATTTGATTTAGTTGTGCTAAATCTTCGGTAGCCAGTGTTCTTTTTGCTGTTAAAAATCATATAAATTCTATGACTGATTATTCTGTGGCTAGTAAACTGAAATATGTCTCCAATCCCTATTTCTCTCATATATTGCTTCTGCCCCTTTTGTTCAATATTTCCATTGACCTTGAGTAAAAACATACACGTTTTTATAACCATTCCACTTCACTAAGTTATTGGGCTCATTTAAAACCTTGTTGCATCAGCTGGTCATAAGATAGATGACGATAACATTGACAATTAGCTATGCTTTAGATAGTCTACTTGAGAGGAGGAGAGGAAGGGGGCGAGGGCATACACTTTTTCTTTTAATTTTGCCTTTGTTTTCCATGTTTCATATAGGCTGTCCAAAAAGAAAGGGAAGAAAAGCTAGCAAGAATTTTGAAAGATTATCTTGACCAATATGTCCGTGGTGACAAAAAGGGATTCTTCCAACGGGCAGAATCTGAAGCAAGACGGCTTTCTCGTGCAGGTTAGTGAACTTTGAGCTGCCTTTATTTGTAATACATTCCTAGGGACTAGACACATGATTGCAGTGCTTATCATTCGATGCCGTAAATATTGAGTGCCTTAAATAGAGTAATGCCCCACGGAACTCCGAACATTTCTCAGATTGAAATTTTAAATAACTGGAACCAGACAGTTTGTCATCAAAACTAGAATGTTTTCCCTCATGCTAGATGTTACAGTATCTCATAGTAAAGACTATGACATTATACAGAATTGTTTATGCTATTGTATCAGTGATATAATCAATTAGATTAGTCTCCGCTGTCTCTAAATGCAGCATTTGGAGTAGATATGTTACATACCATCGGCTATATATATTCAAGACAGGCAGCACAAGAACTAGGGAAAAAGGCCATTTATCTTGGAGTGCCATTTCTGGCTGAATGGGTGCGCAATAAAGGACATTTCTGGAAATCACAATTCACAGCTGCTAAAGGTAAAATAACAGCCAATAATATTACCAAATCCTTACTTAAAAGTCTATTTCATTTCCTTGGAGGTTAGTATTGCAAATGATGTTTTAATTTTATCGAGCACATGCAATTTAGGTGCTTATCAGTTAATTCAGCTTCAAGAAGACATCCGCAAGCAATTTAAAATGGATGGTAGCAGTGGCCCTGAAAATGATGTTGACTCTCACATTCGCCTCAATAAAGATACTTTGATCAGTTCCTTGTGGAAGTTAAATGTAGTGGACATAGAAGTAACCCTTGTACACGTGTGTCAAATGGTGAGTTCTTTACTCATTTTAATTATATAACAAAAATGGATGCTCTTTGGTAGTTTCGTAGTTGATCAGGAAACAGGTTATTGTATTAATTGTCGTTTATTCAGATACTATGAAGCCCTTGGCACGAAAAATTAACTACTATATCCACACGGTGAAATGAAGAATAGTTTGTCAGCTAGAAAGCCTAATGTAATATGAGATGAGTTATAATGGATTTTAGATATGGCCTCTTTTTTATTCATGAAGGAAATGAAAGGGTAGCTAGCATATTCTTATTCTTAAATTTATTGTTGCAGGTGCTAAAGGAAAATAACATTAAGAAAGAAGAACTTAAAGTTCGGGCTACTGCTCTTAAAATTCTTGGGAAGATATTTCAGGTGCAAATTGAGTTACTTTAGCAACTAGCTTTCAGCTTTCTTGGAATTTAGGCTGTAAATTGTTCTTTATAATAATGTTTGGGTTTGAATAACATTTTATTCCTATTATATATCACTGATTTCGTTTTATATTTTTGAAAAATAGTATGGTTTGATTTGATTTTATTAAGTATTTTTCATTTATTTTACTATCAAATGTCATGTTAACATGATGTGACCCGTAGAAATTGGAAAACGATTCCGATCTTTAATGAATGATAAGACTAAAATGAAAATATTTCAATAAAATGAACTAAAATGAAAATCTTGTAAAAAATACTTTTTTTTTTCTGTTGTATCTAAGAAATACTTATATTGCTAAGTTTAGTTTAATAATTGGCCCCTTAATAAATTAAAACAGAAATAAGACAAGACAATTATGTACTTTCCATTCTATATCAGTGAATTTGTGTCTTCATAAATAATTTATTTGCAATTTGCTGATAAAATGTTAATAACGGTTCCTTCAGGACAAGTATCCAAAAGGAGAAACATTGAAGAAGAAGATAGCTACTGATTCTGATGACGAGGGAAGCAGTTCTGATTCTTCAGACGATGAATCGCCAAGAGCAATTTCCTATCGCACTCCATTTTTCACGCAGGTATGTATAAAAATATTTTACAACTACTCACAAAAATTATGTCTATACCATGTATACATGATACTCCGATTACGAAAATATGTACACATTTATTCTTCTGCAGGGTCTCGGTAGGCTCTTCAAATGCCTCTGTAATCCAGCATTTGACGTGGATGATGATGAAATAGTTTACAAAAGCAAATGATTCATATGTACGTACGGACTACAAAACAAAATTCAGCCCTTTCTATAGTTTGTTCGTGAGATTATATAGAAAAGAATTTTCTGATACCCTCTGAATGGTGCAAGCCGTGAATAATCATATTTTGTTGCTTGTCACAGTCACTGCCTCAAGTTTTACATGTGTCATAACACTTGGTCAAGAGTAAACATTCTGTCAAATCCCAAACACTTTTTTGTCTCCCTTTGTACGTTACAAGATTGGAAATTCATAGTAATTCTATTTGGAAATTCATATTGTCATGCCTTTAGCAAACCATCGATTCCAATCACGGTACTATGAATTTCTTGACACCAACGGTCAACTATAAGAACCGTATACATGTCTTTTTTTTATCATTCAGAAATAAATAAGCATGTTACTTTATTTTGTCGATGATTATTTTTTTGTTAGAAAATTATTATAATATAAATTGATTAATAAAAAGATAAATATAAGTTTTATTAAGTCATAAAAACTTATAAAAAATTAAAAAAAAGTTTTTTCTTAAATTAATATCAACTTATGCATTAAAAATATAAACGAGAGAATTCCTTATATTATTTTTAAAAACATTATGAACATCATAACCATTTCTTTACCAATAAATATTATCGCTGGGCGATATATGAAGTGATAATTTTCCCTATTTCGTGTTTTCAAGCTTCTAATTCTCTAAACAAAATGTAAAATAAATAATAATTCATTCAACTTTGAAATTATTTATCTAGGATTCAGTATTAAATAACAAAAAAAAGTTGATAAATAAATATGATAACATAAGTTATTCTTACTTATTAGATAACAGGTAACAAATTAGATACATAGAATAATTATCCTTTATACGGTGTAAATTCTGACCCACTCAATTGAATTTTTTATTATACATTTATTCAATTATAAGATTACATCACTTCATAAAATCTGTAAATATGTATATAATATACTTCATAAAAGTGAAACTATTATCTTAAGTTTAATTTTTATAAAACCAAAAAATACTCATAATTGATGTAAAACATATAGTAGAAAACGACAGAGATAAAGATATGGAGATAACCTTGAGGAAATGATAAACCTGACAACTTTTCCTAAAAAGTCAGAGTTATCTTGTATTTAATTTTTAAAATTTCGGTCGAACTATGAATTTTCGGATAATAGTTACGTCACTATGATATTGATGGCTTTCAATGTTTGAGTTGTATCTTATCCATAATATTTTTGAAACATCGTGTTGCAAGTTTGCCAAATTACCCTTCCTATCTTCTTCCTCAACTTGCTTCTGCAAGGACACGTAAACATAACAAATGTAAGTCAAGGTCATAATAACAACGCTATAACATTATTTATTTTCTTTTTCTCCTCTCAATTTGTATTATTTTATTTCTATATTTAAGTTAAATTTTAAATAGTTTATCTAAAAATTATTAATAATTAGAAATAACATCAACGAATAAAATTAAAATATCTATGTATTTATTTATTATACATTTAAATTGTGAAATATTATTGAAATTCTGATGCGATAGAATCATAACCAGAGTTGTGACCTCAAGCACGTCACACGATGACACGTCGACATTCTCACAGAATCCCCAAAAGACAAATATATCGTTTTAAAAAATTTTAAGTTAAATATTTTTCTTTATCAATTTTAGTTTTCATTCTTTGTATTTTACAATTAGTTACTTAATCCCCACAATTAAAAATAAAATTTAATCCCAATAAGATAATATGTTAATAAAAATATATAAGATTTTTTAAAATTAATCTAATGCCTTTTAGGCCAAAATGTTTTATCTAAATTTGTTCAATATTAGAGAGAATATCCAAATATATATATATATATATATATATATATATATATATATATATATATATATATATATATATATATATATATATATGGAAGATTCGTGGAAATTGAATGCATCACTTCATTGTTGCCGTTGAATTTCAACGTAACATCACGTTGAAAAATGGGCCACTAGAGCTTCTATGCTGAACCTATTAATTTCACAATAGTAAGAATAATTAATTCTAGCATTAATTTTTAATCCTGTTTAAGAAAAATTATAAATTTTTAGGAACATACACCAACAATAATTATCTAAATGAATTATTTACCGCAATTTTATCGGTCTTAAAATATTTATATAAAGTTAGACACTTAATATATATTATACTCTAATGTTAATATTTATATTTATTTTACTATTATCAAAGTAATTGTTTAATTTAAATTCATAAATTCTACGTCTTTGATATACTTTTCATTAATATCTCACTGAAATGGAATTTTTATAATTTTTTTCATAACATTGTTGAAGATCTCAAGACTACTCGGTGACCATTTAAATATCTAAAATACTTTTCATTAATTTCTCATTTAAATTGATTTTTTTTTCTCATAAACATTGATTGTGATTTCAAGACTATTCGGTGGTCCAAATAGCCGAAAATGTGGTCTACCATGTTAGGGAAAAATACCGAAGAGAATCAAAATTCTCTTTAAAGTAAATACCAAAAATTAGAAAATAACAGAAAGATAGTAAAATTTGTTGTAATGTTTTAAGAAAATAATCACTAGATCTAGAATAACTTAAGGATTATTACAGATTTATATTACTAAAACACAACTTAATTTAATACTCGCAAGTTTAAATATACACAATAAATTAATATTTTTTATCATGAAAATTAATTCTAGAACATATTATAATGATTTTAATTTCCAATTAATAGGACTAATTTTCAAAAATTTAATAAGTCAAAAAATCATATTAGTTTTTTAAAAATAAAATTATTTATTTACTCGATATCATATAAAATAAAATAACAATCGACTTACGTAATAAAAAGTAATAAATTTCAATATCAAACCCTCTCAAGATAAAAACATCAAACCCAAACCCTGAAAAATCCCAAAACGGATGAGACTTGATAATAGACCTTATCAATAATATCTTATAGTAAAATTATTATAATAATATAAAATATATTACATAAAATGTATATTACCAAAGTTAAAATAATATTTAATACATTAAAAAAAGTATATTAGCCAGTATAAATATGATTGAAAGAAAGACAAAACTTACACAGTTAGATAATTTTGTGGTGTTTTGTCCTTAAATGGATCCAACTAATTCCATTGAAATTAATAATTATAATAAAAATTAACAGTAGAAGAAAAACAATCCCATTTTAACTAATACATTTCATATTTAGACAGATTTGAGTAAAATAAAATTCAACTTACCTAAAAGGGCATTCATGTACAAAACTAAACACATCCTTGCATAAAACTAGCCATTGTACAAGAGTTCATGTCTCGCCATAATTCATAGCCAAGCTAGGAATAAAACACTTTTTTACACCCAAAATATCCTAAGCTTTCAGATGAAATCCTGAGACCAATAGAAACACAACCACCAGGTTCAACCTGCTCTACAATAAACATGAAATGATGCAGCATTCAACATAAACTTATGAACAAGATCTAAAACTCAACTTTTCAAGTGAACTTCCTTAAAGTTCTTTGAAGTGTCATTATGCATCAACCACTGTGGCTAATGAGCTGTATGAGGAATGGTGTTGATAGCGCGGTGTGCTTGACCAGCACATGCACAATGCACAGATGTCAAACTCAGACAACCACTCATGATGAGTGAGTGTCTTCCTGAACAGGTGTGGAGTGCAGGGGATGAGTCACACACAGCCTGCACAGCAGAAGGGGTGAGTGCTGTGCATTGGCTAATGTTCAAAGTCCTCAGTCCATCCTCATCATTTCCACCTTTCACAGACCCCCACATCCTACTGTTTACTTTGCTCTGTGCCAAAGAATACATTGCTCTGTCTGTTATGTTTTGGCAGTAGTACAACCCAAGGGACCTCAGATGAGGACATCTGTTTGCCAAGGCAATTACACTGTCATCTGAAATAACAAACAAGAGTTAAAGTTGCACTATTGTCAATCTAGGAACAAAAAATAAAGCATTTTATACTAAATGAAGTGACTATTGGCCACTTCCTGAAGCTGCATGATGCTAAGAAAGATAGAATAAGGTAAGGGTTATAGATTTGAAACTACATAGTCATAAATAACTATCCATCCAATTTAGATGAGTTTTGAACTAGTGTACTACTGTGTCTAGATATTCCTATTTCTCTTCCATATATACAGGTAAACTCAATTTCCTCAATTATGATTTTTTTTTCTTGCTAATTAGTGTGTTCTATCACTTTCCAATGTTTATTGCAGCAAACTCCTTTGTTTGTCAAAATACATTTTGTTGCCTCCACATATTTTGCAACCTCATCCATTTACATGGATTCACAAAACTCAAGTATTTACCAGAGATGAGTGTAAATTTATAGAGAGTTAACAGAAGGATTGTTATTCTTTACATAATATCTATGTGAGAAAAGATTCGCTAGCTTTTGCTTTCTTCCCTTAGATTTACACTTAACGTTTCACTACTGAATTTGCTTATATCAGAATGTCTAATAAGCACACACACAAACCCCAGAATAAGCTCAAATAAAGAAGGAACAATATGGAGAAGAAAGATTTTTGTGCAATGAATATGGACTAGTCAAGTAGAACCACACAAATATGAATTGTGAAACCAATTGGCATCTACAGTTGACTTAAATTACTGAAATTTTGAACTATACCTGTTATAAGGACACAACCACACAAGTCAAGTGTTCGAAGATCAGGGCAGCCATACGCTAAACTCATTACTCCAACATCACTGACATTTTCACACCATCCAATATTCAAAGACTGTAACTGATTGCAGAAATGTCCAATTGCCTGCATTTCATTTATTTATTGGATTATAACTCGGAGCCATCCTAGTTTTCCTATTCATTATGATAATCAACTAATCTCCATCATACCTGTAATGCAGTATCAGATGCAGCTTTAACACATCCACAGAGATTCAAAACTTTCAGATTTGTGCATAAACTGGCTAGGGAAGCCAGGGCATTGTCACTAAAGGCTGAACAACCACTAATGTTCAGTTTTGTAAGATTGCGACAACCTAGGGCTATGGCATACAATGAACGATCTGTGAGCTTGAAACTTTTGCTGAGGTCCAGGATTTGCAGGTCACGACAGAAATTTGAAATGGTCTCAACAGCATTGTCCTCCAGTTGAGGTTTGTCTTGACGAAGGATTAAAGTTTGCAATTTTGTGAATTTAGGAGCAAGAGATAGGACCAAGTTATTCATGTTCTTGCTACACCTGAAAGGAATTACATAATCAAGTTAATTACTGGTTTTGAACATTGGCCCCCAAAACATTCAGAACAAACATCAGCTTTTCTTGATTAAATTTCTAAAAGTATGCATAACTACAACCAATTCATACCATTGAACCACAATAACAACTTACTATGGAAAACCATCAAGTGTTTCTATCTAGAGTTTTGAGAAGGGTGCGTGGATAAGAGGAAACAAGTATACAAAGTCATCAACCAAAGGAATCCCTGTACCAAGTTGACCCAATAACAGTAACTTCTAGTTGTGATTTAAACCACTCCACAGAACAAGATCCTCCACAAGAGGCCTGTTTATCTGACTTCATAGACAAACTTCATCCTCTTGAGAAAATCCATCCATTCTTAAATGATGGAAATATGTAGTATAAATGACAGGCAAATCAAACTTGTATTCTACACAAAGGAATTATTCCAGATTGCTGAATGAGATGCAAAACAATCATATGAAATTAAAATGGGTTGCTACCTCACCTAGTCTCGACTCTAGCAATTCATAAACACGTGTTAAAGTTGAGCTAAAGCTTATGGCGGAATCGAGATTGCAGCAAAACAAAACCAATTCATGTTAACATTATAAACTAATTAAACCAAGAATAAACACTTTATTAGGCAGTTCATTGCAGAAAGTAGAAAAATATCATGTTTAAGGCCTATCAGATGGAAGAAACCATGTTTCATTTCCTATTCCTATAAATAAATATATTTACAAGAATATCATTTACTTCATGTGTTCAAACATTTATAAACCAAACAGTGAAAATATAATTTTGTCGTTTACATGTTTGATGTACAAAGCATTTAGAAATCAGAAAAAAAAAATTATAACTTACGGAAAAAAAATATATCATTTGAAGTTAAAAATGATGATGTACCATGAGAGTGATAACCGGGTAAGACCAAAGCAAATTGCCTCTCTCCACCCACGACAAACTTCAGAAGCTATGATCACCGTTTGATCATCCACAAGTGACAAAATTTGCAGCAAGAGCTCCACTGGAATATCCTTCCATTCCGTGATCACCCCAGCTTTCAAGTTCACTCCTTTCTCACTACTTTCACCAACACCAACCATCATAAGCTTCTCAAAACTCATGTTCAACACCTCAGTTCTCAAACCTTCCTTGCCAATCATTTCCACGAAAGCCAGATACTCTTAGCCCTCTTGAACAAATAAACAAACAAAGTGGAAGTGACGTCACAAATAAAACATGGATAATGCACAAGTTCTAGAACCTTGGAGTACCCTTGTTTCAGTTTACAAGTGTAGCAAACAAAACCATAACATCCACAAACCATAAATTTAATAAATTAAAAACACATGTTATAACCAGAGAAGATACGATAATCATAGTAATTAACAATGATCATGATCATAATTGTGATTTGTTTTGTTTCTTATATGTACCACCTTTCATAAGAACCAAATGTGGACCCTGTCCTATCAAAATTGGATTCTTAATTCAGCTTGTTGTGAAAAACTAACCCTAACCCCAATATGATAATATTTGTGAAGAGACTATCAAATAAAATAAAAAGTGTCTAATCTAATTGGAATAATTTTGTATATTCCAGAAATACCCTTAACGTGTTTCATAATGACATGATTGGGACCAAGCATCAAGCTTGATCATCACAGAAAGAGGATTAAACATTTTTTCCTTCAAAACATGGAAAAATTCCTTCTGTTCAAATTTGACATGCATGTTAAAAAGAATCCAAATAGTCAAAATCATACGATGAAGGAGCAAATCAACCATAAAAAAAAAAGTGATAAAAAAAAAGTACTAAACCTTTTTCTAATACAAAGCAGCATCGCTACTTCCAATAATGAAAAAGAAAAAAAAAAATTCCCTCAACCCATCCTAGATGGATTTTTTCTATTCTAAATTTATAAAAAATCAGCAGAGCTTAAAAATGTGTAGAATCAAAAGTAAAACTAGAACAACACAGTAAAGATAGTGAAACGGCCATTACCAGCAAGTAGCTACAGAAGAAAGAGAGCTTGATTCTTTATGATGCTGCTAATGACAGGAACAATGGTTCTTTTTTGCTTCTCTGGAAGCTGCAATGGTAGCCAAGGGAAGGCATAGAAATAAAGAAAAAACAGGAGACAGAAAGAGGAAATGTTACGGCTCATCACAACGACACGTATGATGCCACGTGCAGTTTGAAACAGTGTGGACCCCACTGAAAACTTGAGCAATGAGAAAAAGTGGTGATAATCACAAATTGAAACCACCCAACAAATAATAGAAAAAGAAAGAAAAAGTTAGTACTTTATGCATGAAAATGAAGATAATAAAATGGGTTAGTTGTTAAGCCGGAAAATAAGGATTAAGGAAAGAAATAATTCTGGTAGTTTAGGAGTGTGTAGAAGGTTCGATTTTGCCAGAACCCGGCAAAAAAAAAAAAAAAAAAAACAGGAAAAGAAGAATAAAAGTTGGTGGGTGCAAGGACAAACAATATATGAAAGACAATTTCAATGGTTGGTCAAAGGGTGTTAGTAGCATGATTTATTATATATAAATATAAAATATTTTTTACACATAGATTCCAGTTTATTTATTGTATTAATAGCTTGTTAAACAAAACTAATAATCCAGATTAAATTTTAAAGGATAAAAATTGTATATTATCCTTGATTTCTAATTATTAACTTTTTCACACTCTAACTTTTTCTTCTGTTTTTTTTATTATAATGTGGGTTTCAAATATGATTTTTTTTCATATTAGTATAAAATTTAACTTTTTATTTTATTTTAGTATATTATCTTGTGCTCCTGATTTTCTTCCCATTTTGTTAATTAAAAAATATTATAAATTAAAGACATATAAAAAATATTAGAATTGAATATTTATTGAATTTTTTTTTTGATAAATTTTTATGTAATATGTACATTTTGGTTCAAATTTCATCTTAAAAATTAATAATAATTTTTTAAATTAAATTATTTATTATATTTAAAATCTAACATTATTTATTTAAAGTTAATACATAATATATATATATATATATGATGAAAATTATTTTGTAACTTATTATATTTTATTTATAATATATTTATATTAATCAAAAGATAATAAAAACTTGAAATTATAGTTTTTAATAATCATGTAATTTGTTTATAAATATAATAAAGTGAAATTTATGAAAATAATAATTATTATAAAAACTTTCACAACGAAAATTTTGACAATTTTTAAAGAAATTAATTCTTATAATTTTGTTAAATAAAATTATATAATTATTTGAAAAACCAACTTAGACAAAATAGTTTTTAATTTATTTAATACAATAATTAAAATATTTGTCTTGGTTAATTCTTAAATAAAGTCTAAGATTTTTTTTTAAAGAGAGGGAGGTAAAAGAATAAAGAAGACTAAGTTTGTTCTAACTTTTAGGCTACCTTCAGTTTATTAAAAACAAATATTATTTATTATTTTAATAAAAATAAATAAAATTAAGTTTTGAATAATTATATATTCTAAGTATATTATAATAAATTAATCAATAGTCTAATAAATTAGTCAACATATATATTTTTTATAATAATTATACCAGATTAACTAATAAAGACTCTTTGATGAAAAAGTTAACCAATTAAATAGAATGTAATTTTAAAAATTAGTGAAGTATTAAATCTAACGTATAAAAAATATATATAATTATAGATTGATTAAATTATAATGTGAAAAATAAGGTATAACAGCAAGATTTATTATGTAAACTTTTTTAAATATAATTTTTCAAATTATAGTATTTTTTGAATAGTTTAAATATTTTTATAATCAAATCTTTATATATTTAAATTAAATAAGTATTATTGTTAAATTATTATGAAAATAAAAAATTATTATTATTTTAAATATATGTATATAATCATTGTTTTGAAAATCAGAGCAAATTAACCATATTTATATATTTATATATTTATATATTTATATATTTATATATTTATATATTTATATATTTATATATTTTTATATATTTATATTTTTATATATTTATATTTTTATATATAATTAAATATTTATTTTTTAAAATTATTTAATTTAATAAATTATTATAAATTAATCTAATTATGATTAAATTAAATTATTAAATAAAAAATATTTTATTTTTTAATTAGGTGAATAATTAAATTATATTATATAATTTTACCGATGGATATATCTGTCGGTAAATAATTATTAATTTACTGACGGAAATATCCGTCGGTAAATAATTGTTAATTTATCGATCGGATTTACCGACGGATATATCCGTCTGTAAATTCATCTATAAATTATCGACGGATTTATTGTTGGATATATCAGTCGGTAACTAATTATTATTTTACCGACAGATATATTCGTCGGTAACATCAAATTTCACAAATATTTTATATTTGTCGGTAATTTCCGATCGGTAAATATCCGATCGGTAATACGCGATTTTCTTATAGTAGATCGAATTGTGGATTAAAGAATTAGAAAAAAAATTAAAGTAATGAATTGTCCTGATAACTAAAAGGTAAATTTCGTTGTGTTTATATTAATAGGAAAGACTGAATATTAGTGGGATAATATCATGAGATTATTAGAAGGAGGAAGAATAATCATTACTTGGGAGGTGTTTAGAATAAAATTTTAGAAATATATTTTTCCAATGATGTGAGGAGAGCAAAAAATAAAAAGAGTTTATGCAATTAAAGCAAGAGAGTATGACATTAGGAAAATATGACTATAAGTTTGAAGAATTAGGAAAATACTCTACGTTCTTTTATCACCCAGATAAAATAATGAAATGCATAAAATTTGATAATGAAATTAGGCCTAAATTACATTCTAATCCTTTTGTACCAAAAGAAAAACCTCCAACAACAGGGAGAGTATACATTATGACCGAAACTGAAGTCTCTCAAAATAATGATTTGATCCAAGGTATGAGTTTCGTTAAAGGTAAAATTTTAAATTTACTCTCTGATTTAAACACAACTCATTCATTGATTTTGTGTTCCATACCTTGAATTGTCAACTTTATTTCTAGACACTATTTTGATTATTTCAACTCCCACAGGTAAGTTTGTAATTACAAATAAAGTTTGTCTAGATTGTCTTTTGTTATTTGAAAGTAGGAAATTACTTATAAATTTAATTTATCTACCTTTATTTCAATTAGATGTAATCTTAGGTATGAATTTTTATCTTCCAATCAAGTTCTTCTGAATTGTGCTTTGAAAAATCTATAATGTTTTCAAATACTGATGATCTTTTGAATTCATCTATCAACTCAATAAGTGAACTTTTAAAAAATGAAATTCAATTATATTTGTCATTATTATCTTCTATGGAAATAAAAGAAGAAGTCGATTTGAAAGATCAGTTGTTCAAAGTTTTGTTAAATCTTTTCCTAATGATATTTGTGGTTTGCCACCTAATAGAGAGATTAAACTTTTAATAGATTTGATGTTTGGAATTGAATCAATTTCTATAATACCATATAGGATGCCATCCTTTGAACTAACATAACTGAAAACACAATTAGAAGAGTTACTTGAAAAACAATTCATTCTTCCTAATGTATTACTATAGAGAGCCCCTGTTTTCTTACTTAAGAAGAAAGATGAAAGTTTTAGGTTGTGTATAAATTATCCCCAGTTAAATAAATTCATCATAAAGAATAAATATCATCTTCCTATAATAGATGATTTGATGGATAATTTAAGAGGAGCCTCTATATTTTCTAAACTAAATTTAAGGTTAGTATATATCATCAATTTAGTGTAAAGGCAGAATATATACAGAAAACTACATGCTAAACTAGGTATGATCATTATAATATCAAGTGATGCCTTTTGGTGTGACTAATGCTTTTATATTGTTCATGAATTATATGAATAAAATTTTGAATTACATTACCACCCAAGAAAGGAAAATGCAGTGACATACGCTTTAAGCATAAAATCCTTACATGTCTCTTCACTAATGATTCATGAGATGAGTCTGTTAGAAAAATTTAAAGACATAAATTTGTCAATTACCGTAAGCTCTAATAGAATGAAATTAAACTCAATTTAGATTACTAATGATTTAAAAAGACAATTCCATGAAACTCAAGTAAGTGATGAATTCATTCAAAAGAAAAAGAAATTGATAGGACAAAAAAATGGAGAAAATTTTGGCACATATAGGATAAGAATTTTGAGATTTTATGATTGAATATATGTGTCTAATGATGTAGAGATTAAGAAGTTGATTTTAGAAGAAACACCTAAGAGCAAATTGAGCATACATCTAGGCACAACAAAAATGTATCAAGATTTTAAAAAAATGTTTTGGTGTGAAGAAGGAAGTAGTACAATATGTAGCAACATACTTAGTTTTCTAGAAAGCTAAGATAGAACACCAAAAGTCAGCAAGAATGCTATAATCCTTAAATATACTTGAGTGAAAATGAGATAGTATAACAATGAATAATGTAGTTAGCTTACCATGAACAACTCAAAAATTTGATTTCCTATGAGTTATCGTGGATAGGTTAACAAAGTTTATAATCTTCTTACCCATTAACATTAGGTATTTATTGGAAAAATTAATTGAATTGTACATAAGAGAAATTGTGAAATTGCACGAAGTTCCATCTAAAATTGTATTTGATAGGGATCCTATATATACTTCTAAAATTTGAAAGAGTTTACATCTGGCATTAGAAACTAGACTTCATCTTAGCTCAGTTTATCATCCCCAAACAAATGGATAATAAAAAATTATCATCTGATCCTTGGAAGATTTATTGAGAGCATGTGTGCTAGATGATTCTAGTAGTTAGGATTGATACTTGTCATTGATTGAATTCACTTACAACAATAGTTTCCATAGAAAATATATGGGAGAAAATATAGAACACCTTTATGTTGGTTTGATACTAGAGAAAATTTAATTTTAGGTCCTAACTTGATTCAACAAACTACAGGAAAAAATCAAAATGATTAGGGAAAAGTTGAAAGTAACTCAGAGTAAATAAAAAAGTTATGCTAACAAGAAAATGCAACCACTTGAACTCTAGGAAAATGATAATGTATTCTTGAAAGTCACACATACAACTAGAATTAGTAAAATAATGAAACCAAAGAAACTCACTTCTCGATTTATAGGACCTTACAAAATTTTTAGAAAAAGAGGTTCGTTATCAAATTTCCTTATCTCATTTTTTTTTTTTCATAATGTCTTTCATGTGTTTCAATTAAAAAATATATTTTTGATCTTTCTCATATAATAATGTCTGATACAATATAATTAAAGGAGAACCTTACATTTTAAAGTCATGCTTATGTAGATCACAAATACAAAGATCAAGCAATTGAGAAGAAAAAAATTTCACTAGTAAATGTCATTTTGAATGAAGTCCTGAATATGTTATGTGGGAAATGAAAAATAAAATTAGAGAAAGTTACTTTCGTTTATTTTAGTCACAAAAAAAAAAAATTCTGCAAGGGAAAAATATAATACCTTAAAATTTATCATGTAAAATATTTTAAATATAATTTATTAAATTGTAATATTTTTGAATAATTTAAATATTTTTATAATCAAAGACTTATTTTTTTTAAAATAAATAAATAAATATTATATATATATAAAATTATTAGTTAAAAAAAAAGATAAGATTTCTTATCTCTTTGTAAACAAAAAGTATGGAAAAAAAATTAAAACTTATCTTTGCATTAAATATTAAAAACATTGAAAATTAGATTGAATTTATGTGTATATACAAGGAGGTTAGGTGAGAGGTAAGATGACTAAGTTATGTATGTAATCTTGTTTTATTGATTTTTTTATATTTATTTATTTATATTTATGTACTGATCATATTTTATATTTATTTAGTACAAGTTATTTATTAATCTTATTTATATTTATTTAGTTATTTTTAATTATACATTAGTTTTTTTTTTATATTTATTTATTTATTTCTAGTTATATACTGATATTTGTTTATTAATTTATATTTATATTATTTAATTATTATTAAATTTTCTTAAAGAATTATATTTATTTATGAATATTCGATGATATTGTAATGAACATTGAACATTCAGAATTAAAATGAGTAAATATCACTTAAAAATGATAAGTTTTTGGGTTATTTATCTCTTTAGTCTACAAATGTTTGTAATATAAAATAAATTGAATATGTCTTTAAATATTCATAATATAAAATAAATTAAATATGGTATTGAAGTTGAAAAGTTAATTTTATATATTATTCTGAGATAATTATTTTATATGATATTTGTTTACATCCTCCTATTATTTCTTGTATATATTACAACTAAAAAAATCAATCTAAATAAATAGAGGAATCAAGTTGAAAGACAAATATAATTGCTAAATGAATCACTTTTAGAAGAAAAATACTTATCAAATTTAATAATTATTTTAAATATAAAAATAACATAAATTTGTAAAATTCATATATATATATATATATATATATATATATATATATATATTAACATTTATCAACTTAATAAAATATATTAACATATAAATATAATAAAAAATAATTAAATTAACAACTTAAAAAAGACATCACACAAAAATAATTAGAGAAACAAAATAAGACAATGACCAAAATTTAAAATATTATTTTATAATAAAAATATATTATACCTTACATCAATAATCAAACAACCACGAGGATAATTACAATTTTAAGTGGTTTTGTATACTTTACGTATGATAACGATTATCAATTATAGTTGAAAATATTCATTTTAACAATAATTTCTTTGACTATCATTAAAAGAGTTAAAATCTTTTTTTTGAAGTAGAACAACTTCAGCATGTCCTTCTTAATTATCCCTTTCTTTTAAGTATTCTTAATTATCACCTCATCTGTGATTCTAACAAAAAATATGTTTAAGAAAAAAAAAAAAACTAAGCGAAAAACTCTCATAGAGAAAATTTACAATAAAATATTATTGACTTAGATTTTATCTTCAGTGATTAAGGATATAACAAATTTTTTTCTTCATTACTATAATTTCTAATAGATAATTTCTACACGGGTCTAGTAAAAAACTTATAAGAGTTGTTATGTGTTGAAGTTGTATTTTTTCATTAACTATCTTTTATCTTTTATAAAGTCTAAAAAATATTATCAAAAAAGAAAATATTTAATTTTAATATTCTTTATAAATAATTTTATTTTAAAAAAATATTATTGTGACATTATCTTGATGTTTACTCAAAAATCTTATTTAAAAAGTCCTAATATGATTATATATGTTACAAAAGAAATATGATTATCTTGAATAATGAATAATTTGGATATTTGAAGTAAGGTTAAGTCTTGGAAAAGAGACAAGAGCAGGTAAATTATCGGAGTCTGATTAAAAAAATGAAAACTTGTTCTCTTCTGAATCTGGGCCCTTATGAGTTGGTGGAGGCGTCTTCAACTGTCCAACCCCAGCCCCATTAATTCCAATCTGCATGTAATGTGTCTCTTAGCAACCAAATGATATTCAATAAATTTGTGCAAGTTGCAAAGATCAAGGAATATGGACAAAGTTTCACATCATTGCTTCAAATTTATGATCAAAACTATTAGCACAAAATGTAACCGGCCTAGCCTATGAACATCTTTAAGATTATGATTAAGAAACTAATTACTACGTATTACACAATACTTACGTGCTGTTAATTATATCAAACTTAATTACCTTCCATCATTGTTACAGCACAATAAAAAAAACCTTTTATTCATCTTTCACAGTAACTTAAAATCCTTTTATCAAAACTCAAATATTACTAAGTAAACTTATTGGAAGAAACATTAATGTTCAAGTTGAAGGACAACAAAACTGTAAAAAACGAAGTGTTTGGAAGATTCCAAACCATAATAAATAAACCCTAGAACTCTAAAGTAGAATACTCTAAAATACTTCATTTCATTTTTTATTTTTGATTTGAATTTAATATCAAACTATCCCATTTAGAAAAAATAGTTCTAAAAATAGAAAAAAAAAAACGGTCGATTTTTGTTTTTCAATAGTGACCTTATGGAGCTATCTATTCTGAGTTATCCTTGTTGCTTTGAGTCATAAAAAAGTTAGAGGAAAAGAAAGTACATGAGTTCAAAATAGGGATAGCATTGAGAGTACAAGATACACCTTATAAGCAATGGTTTAGAACAAAAGGGACCAAGTTCAAGCCCTACCCAAGTTTGACACACTTAACTTTATTCTTATTCTTAAATATATGTACATTTTGATGTGTCCTTTGTAACCAAGCAACTAGAATCAATGCATGATTCTCAACTCTCATAATCAAGTCAAGAACCTTTCCAACAAGTTCCCAAAGAAGAAGCCTGTTTTAGCCCATCCTCGGGTTTCAGCTGGTGCTTTGGCACTGCCTGGTTCCCTCTTCACATTGACCATCACTGTCTGTCCAATTTCCTTGCGTAATGCTTCGATGATCTTCATGTCCACTGGGTTCCCAGATGCATCTCTCACGTAGAACACATTTAACCCTTTCTCCCCTATGGTTGACACACCTGCCCTACTAACTGTTATGCCGTTCTCTCGTAAAATCCTTGTCACTTCAGACAGCAACCCCACTCTGTCCTTTGCACACAGTTCAAGGCTCACACCCTGTGTCCATCATCCACTGGATCAATGCTAACAACACTACGATGATGATAATTAATTGTATGCATAAAATGTCAAATAGGGATAGTGGCATTTGTCACATAATTAACTATATGCTGTTTCAGCATATGACTTATTGTGACATGCATTTGTCACATTAACTCAGTTTGCAAATGATAAAACTAAATGACAGTCTTTGTCTTAATGTTTTTAACTTCTTATTTTTGAGCTTATAGGGATGTGGATGAGATGATATTACGTGGAGATTATAGGTTCTTAAGCTCTAATGCTCTATTGAAGACAAAAGACCATCACTGTCACCGATTCATTAGGTGGATATAATGGTCACATACAATCTGAGTGGAACTTATCCCCATATATCTGCCGTACCATTCGCAACAATACAAGTAGATAGCTGCAGGTGCAAAATGTATTAATTGGGTTAAACTCAGAAGAGTTTCTGATGAAGAGAAAGAATGAGGGAAAGAAAGAAATGAGCAGAAAAGAATATAGTAGATCGGTGACTTCAGAAGAAAAGGGGTCAGGAGAAAATTAACTCACTAGTTAAAACTTAACGTAAATATTATTGCAACACCATCTTCTGAAATCAAGTTGCATGAAGAACTTACTAAGTTGAAAACCAGAAGTTCATTGCCGCCTTCAGTTTTTGGTATGGGGTAAAAAGCATACAGAAATCAAATGTAAACTGCACATTACCTCGCTAACTCTTCTTTGAATAGCAGCTTCAATGCATTTGGTGACCCTTTCTGTCTCTCCCTCAGTATCAAGCGTGCATCCGTCCATGTGCCGGATAAAGTACTCCTAAAATTGCACATCAATACTTTTTAGTCCACATTTTTCAACTTGGTCTTTCTACTTCTAATTTTTCAAATATAGTTTACGCTCTAACAATGTAAATGATTTTAAACTGTTTTTCAGTTACAAATTTTCACATACCCTAAATTTGTTAACTTTCGTATCATAAGTAATGCCTACTCTATCATTTAATTAGTTAACTTTGTAGAAGACTCTGTATTGAAATAAAATTCTTTCCCGAGTCCCAGCATGAATCATTTCAACTTTGTAGTTTCTAAAAAACTATTTTACATTTGCATCCTTAACATTTGGGTTAGGATAGACCAAAAGTTAAATGATCACTGTACTTATATATGATTGGTAAATTGAAGTACAGAATGAATTATTGTAGATAAATGATGTGTACCTGGGATGCATATTGCCCTTCCGATGAAATTGTAGCATGGAAAACCACATACTGCATGTCGGTGAGAGTGCAAACAATGTCAAACATCAATTTTGCCCGATCTTTGCATTTTACACTAACCACTGAGTACCCTTTTTCCACAATACGTTCTATTCTGATTTTTGGCCTAAAAGAAGGAGTAGAATCAACATCTGTTGTTGTTACTCCAGAACTTTCGTAGTCCCTATCAGCAAATAGCATTTGGTGGAGCCTCCGATCCATGTGGGTGAAACCCATTGAGAAACTGGTCCTAGCCACTTTCTCATCATCCTCACACCCGCGTAGGATGTGGTTGAGCTGCTCTTCCATGATAGACAATCTTTTTGATTCATCCATGGTTTGGTTTGTAGCATCATTGACATAAAGGACACAAGCTATTCTCCTGTTATGAGTCCAAACTTCAGCAGCAATCACATTGAATTGGAGGCTGGCAAGGACTGCTGATATCTCAGACAAGAGACCGGGGCGGTCCCTTCCAATGAGCTCAATGGCTGTATGATCACCAACTAAGTGAAATCCAACCCTTTTGCATTGCCAACTCTTCACTCCTTCTGTACTCTGGCCCTTTGGTCCTAGAGACTGTTGTAATGATTACAAATAGTATTCAGTATTTGATATGTTTTTAATATTTATGTCACTGTAAGGGAGAAATTCTGCTATAATACATATATATGTAAATGAAGGTGAGCTAGCTACTAGAACGAACTAGTTTTTTTAGCAATATCACTAGGGTATTTCCTAGAGTGTGGAAGTTCCTAGGTCAGTTTAGAATTTCTCTCCAAGTTAGAAAGTGAATTAGAGATTTAAACATGAGAAAGGGTACAGGTCATATCTGGTCTTGAATATGGTGTGAACCAAATATTTTGTTTATACTACTATTGATGCTTTTTGAAAGAACAAATTAATAATTTGTAATCTTGAGTGTTTCCTTTCCTAAGACAGATAAAGCTTGTTGTCCACACAAAGCTCCATTTATGTAAATCTTAATTGTTATGCTATCTCAATTTATTACATCACCAATCCAAATATTTTTACATGATAGTTTGATTACTAATACTATAACATTATATTTTACTGCAAGAATATGTCATATATAGAGGAGAAAGATGAATACCTTTTCAATGAAGTCTATTGTTTTGCTGTCTGTTATCTTCTTTCCTTGCTGATCGGTGACATGAAATACTGTTAATTCCATTGGTAAACATGTCAGTTGTTAAATACTTGTGTGAATTGGGAGTGTGTTTAGCTATGAATTCATCTTTATTTACAAGACAATGAGTAAGTAAATATTTAAGAACTAAAGCGTGCTTTCTGCTACACAAGTACTTAATCTACCAAAGAATGGATTATCCCTCTTTTTGGCTCAAATATGCATAGACATAGAGAAATACTTCATGGACATACATAGTCAATAAAAAAACTGAAAATAATGAAGAGCATCATGATAGCAACCAGTAATCTCAGTAGTAACCAGGTTTTAACTAGGCTTACAACAATCAAGGACAGGACAAATCTGTGTAGTCAATGCATTACCGATTCAAGTTTTCAATCACGAACATACCATCCATAAACCATCCACCATCAGAAGATATGTAAGCTTTGGTAATTGTGAAGTCAAGGTCTGTCAGGATTTGGACCACTTCTAGCAGAATTCCAGGTTTGTTAATGCTATCAAACTGCATTTTATTTTTTGGAAATAAAAATAATAATCCATTAGATATTGTATCAACGTATCTCTATGTTAATGATTCTTTCAAGAACTATTAAAAAATATGATCTGATGATGATAGCCACCTGGGGAAGCCTAGTGTTTTGCATGACTTAATCTTTTAGCAATCGACTTAATGGGCTTTTAACAGAACTTCTGTCTGTTCAATATGTTTTTCAATTCAAATTTCGAATAACTTTTCTCTTCATTCATTTAAAGTAGAACAAGGAAGAGACTGCTAAACATATTTTTGTAATCAAAGGAAATCTAGAAAATGTTCACTTGAACGTAAAATTTGAATTATCTTCTAGTCAAATGAAATTTGGCTAAAGTTTTTGACTTAAGTCAGAGAATTTGAGTGAGGGACAATAAAGTCTCATTTGGCATATAAGAATAAGAATAAAGTAAAATTCAACTCAGTTTGAGAAAAACACAGCTATAGGGTTAAAGTAACTTAAATATCCACATGGCCTAGGTATGTTTCCTAATATGCTCGGTTGCCAAATCATGACTCACAACACAACTAGGCCATATCATTATCACAATTAGTCATTTCGAGAAGTTATACCTTGATAAGTGTACAATCATGGCAACTATCATTGTCCACAGAGACCCTGCGAAGTGGAAACAGAGTTACCATCAAAGAGTCACTTCTTCCGGGTATTAGAAATTCCCACCACAAACCACAATTTCACAGGGAGGCAACCTTGTACTCTAGTGAGGATTAAATTTATGACAAAGACTAATTAAGTTAAGAATTACTAAAGCTTTTAACTTATTTGTTGTGCCGTTCTTTTCTTGTTTACTTTGAGACTGCATTAAAGCAATTATGCTGCTGTACATAAATCCTAAGAGAATCTACACAATTTGCAGACCATTGGTAAAAAAGGAAAAGAAAAGAAAACCAAAGCTGTAATTCAAGGAATGATAAAACAATGAACCTTGGAGGGTTGATTCTGTTGCTGAAGTTCTCATACTCCGGATCAAAATATGGCCAACAAACTTTTGCCATTCAATCAGCTTCTCCAGTCAAACAACTTTCCTAGTTTTACCTTTAGCAAAGTAAAAAAGTCTAGTCAGAGGGGGAACAGAACCGTTACTTTCCTGTGCAGATTCCTATTTGCATTATACAATATAATATAACTGCCTAGTGCAAAACGGATAAAAAGTAACTATTGAGATCATACAGCAAAAGAATCAAATGAGTTGTGCAGTTACTAAGAAAGATCCCCTCATCAGTTAGATGAATGCTCTATGTTGTGGTGCACAATAGTTCTATGAATGCAGTGCATATCCACAAATGCCATATTTATACCTACAATATTTCGCAAATTTGAAAACCATCACACAATCAAAATAATATTTTAAAACCATGATGTCAGTAGTGGCGGGGTGATATAGCACTCCTGAATGCAACGTTTTAGGCTCATTCTTCCAGCATGTGTAAAAGAATCACCGTGCTTCATTTCCTGACCTTTGAACATGACTTTAGGAATAACAAGAAGTTAAGCACCGAACGTTCCTTGTCCAATAGATTATCAAATGCAGAGAGAGAGAGAGAGGAAGACAAGAATAAAGAGGATGACAAGAGAATCATGGCATCAGTAAAAGGAGACATTTTCGGTGCAAAACCTAGATGGGTACGTGGACGAATCAAGAGGAATGTATATTAGTGCCACAGTGGAAATATAAAATGCTATACTATAACCTTTTCCTTTCTTTTGAGCACGCATAATAAAGCATTTTACACCACAAATAAATCAAAACAATTCACGTTACTTGGATCACAGAAAGCAAGATTGTTCGTCAGGTTGAGGGCTGTTCATACAACTTTTTCATGAGTTCCATGGCTTGCATATTATAGTGATTTCTGAATATTGTGTGATTTGTGGATTTCTTTCTAGCTTATATATATATATATATATATATATATATATATATATATATATATAATTGTATGCTTCAGATTCAAAATTACTGACAAACTTAAACAACTCTATGTTAATTGATCTCGTGTTCGGAGTTGAAAATTGATAAAATAGATCCTTCCCATAAATCTTCAGTCCATTGCTTAAGAAGTGAGAACCCTTACCACTAACGCAAACTTGAGTTGATAACATGTTCATTCTACGTCCAATCCTCTTGAACACAGTTCCAAACACGCCATCAAGCAACAAGAAGGATCCACGTGGTGAAGAGACATATTTAGGCTTTACAATAAGGCGATGCATAGGATACCCAAATGAATGATAGTGAAGCGTCGCCACGAATTTGTAACTCGTAACATAGCAGCAAACAGTTGAATGGAATCTTAGAAGTCCGACCAATGTGACATAAATATCTGATTCCAACTTTAAGAGGAATACATGTTTTGTTTCACTTTATTTATGAATTTAACCATCACAGAGGTACACATCCGTGCCCAGTTGCCATCACCTTATCCTCCACAATTATTCCATAATATAGAAAGATCTTCTGTTACCACCGTTCAATTTGATGACCTAACTAAGGCGCTTTTCTGCAAGTTTCTTAAAGATATTCTTTCATAATGATTATACACGCACACACATAACTCCATGATCTGAGATAGTGGTTAGATATAATGTACTTGTAGATTGTGGGGCTAGTTTATGTGGTAGGAAAATCCTGGGAAAATCATGTTCGATTCTCATCATACACAAAAGTTCGTCAAGTCAGGGACGACTCATCATATCAACAATAGTCATAAAATGATAATACCACAAAGATGAACTAGTCACATAAGCTTTTATATGAACGTCGCACGCGTTCTCATGATTATTTGTAATTTGTAATTAACTAAAATATCTCTAATTATATATAAGTTATCCTATTTTTTCCCAAACATAAATCCATTCGTATTCTCCATAATATTGTGGGTAGATTTGAATTCTATAAATTTTTAATAGTATATTTAGTCCTCCAAAATTTTAAAATTAAACAGTTTTGATCTCACATTAATAGATTATCTAATTACTAACAAAAGTTATTAACTTATTTTCCATGATAACATATGTGAAAAATTATTATTAATATTATAAGTGAATAAGTAAATAATAATATTACTATGGTTCCATCAATATTTATTGTTCGAGATTGGATAATGTATTGAGAATGTATTAAAATGTTTAAATTTAAAAACTAAATATAATTTTTTATAAGACTGAAATTATTTACTTATATATATATATATATATATATATATATAACATATTTTTAATATATATTATATATATATATATATATATATATATATATATATATATATATATATACACACACAAATAAAAAATTGAATTTAATTTAAAAAAATGTTAAGGGTATATAGGACCCACAACGTTTAGGGGTTTTCAAAATTTAAAAAATAATATGGTTTGATATATTCGCTATGAACGAACGAGAACAAATCAAATAAAACTTCTATAAGTGAAAATAAACTAATGTTTTTTTAAGTAAAATGAAAAAAAGAGAGAAAAAAATTGATATTCCTTGGGTAAATATCACATTGATGCGAATACAAAATCATACTTGTATAAAATATCATCTTTCCAATCTCTCTAAATATTATTTGCATCTCCTATCCTAACATACTAAATATTATTTTATTTTACTATTTTTTGGAGTTATTTTGTTCATGTAATAATACCATTCACTTTAATGACTATATCATCTTAAAAAATTTAATCAAATGTTTCATTAAAAAATTAATAAAAATTCAAAAAAATACTTCTCAAACATAAATTCTATAATTTTATATCCATATATATATATATATATATATATATTATTTATTTATTTATTTGTGGTAATAACCAAAACAAAATTTAAACAATAGTAATCTTTATAGTACCACTCAACCCACTTTTACCACATTTTTATAAGAAAATGAACAAACAAACTCGATTTACTTTTTCTTGAATAAAAAAAATAATTAGGCGTGGATAATAGAAGTTGACTTACTTTATATATAAATATAAAGAATTCTATTTATTATAAAAACAAAAATAGAAATTTTTTCTTTATTTTTATTTTGTAATTTTATGACATAAAATAATAATTCATTTTAATTATTATATTAAAAAAATAACGATAAAGAGTCTAAAGTTCTTATTTGAATGAAAATTTTTTATATATTTATGGATAGATAAAATATAAGAAAAAAATTAAAATTATAATAAACATGATACAAACTTTGAGATAAGAAAATTAAATATTAAAATATTTATCAATTTATATATTGGCTATTTGAAAATTTATATAAACCTTCTAATTCTATATATCAAAAGACAAGGTGGTGTTACCAATCTTTACAGTGATTAAACAGGAATAAATAATTGAATCTAAACATTACTTTTATAAATTATCTAACAGAGAGACATCTAAACTTATCACCATCAACATTTGAAATCCTTTGATTCAGAGAAAATAATTAATATGGAGGCAGAACCAGTATCGGATAAAAAACTAAAGATCTCGAAGCCACATAAACGGAACACTTAATTAGTATCGTTTTCTAAGTGAGTATTAAGGGTTTAGATGAAGTGTTCCTTCGAATGAGAATAGATTATGTTTCATTTGAATTGATATGCAAGATGATAACGAAGCTCAGAAATTCACAGAGAAGTTACAGAGGAAAAGTACGTACCTTTCGTCTCCGAAGAACAAAGTTGGTGCGAAGATTCAACTCCAACACAGACTTGAATAGCTCTAAATTTCTCACATTCAGAGCGATACTGATTCTGTGATATCTATGTAAAGAAAGAGAGAAAAGAGTAAAAACAGAGAACACTGCACTTTGGAAGAAACCTTCTTGACGTAGCCAAAAGCAGGGGAACCCTTATATATTAATTTTTGAAATCATCAAATTTCTATCTTACAAATATTAACGTAATAATATTTATTATTTTATTGTGATTGCCAAATAAGTATTAAATATTTATCAATTTTTCTTAGGATTAATATTGTTGCACGGCTTAATTAATAACTCTTGGTGGAGTCTCATCCAGAACTATATATGAGTTATCTTTAAATTATTTCATTCAAAATTGTTTAATGTTTCGTTTAAGTTCATTTATTTGATTAAAAAAATAAATCTAAATATGAAGACCCTAACAATTTATTTTGTTCTATTTTCTTAACATTGAGCATCGACTTAAAAGGATTTAAGTAGAATCAAAATTCTCTTCATAGTGTTGACAGAAATAGTTTTTTTACAAGTCATTAAGAATGAAACATGGATGATATTTTTTGGCATAGTTTCTTAGCCTTTAATTTATTAAAGGAATGTGGATATCTGGAATGAAGAATGTGTAGTTATTTCACTTTGATTGAAAAATATTAATGAGCCATGGTGCATGCATGGAGTTGCTATCTTTCACTTCTTTCTTCTTTCGGATTTGGTGTAGAAGATCAAGATTCCAAAGCATAGGTAATTAGTCCCAAGAACAACTCATTTTTAACATACTTTATCTGATTGATTGAAATTGGTGAAATGAATGACGAGGAGACAAATGAACAAATTCAATACAACCATTTTGACCGGTATTTTAAAAATCAGAGGATCTCTAGTTTCAATCGGTTTTATCGAGAATTTAAATAATTAGAATTTAATTAACTAAGAATAAAATTAAAAAAAAAAAACAAAATCGGTATAAAAAATATCAGTTAAGTTTGTCTCAGTTTTGATAAAAAAATTTATATTTAAAATTATTTTTTTAATATATTTTTTTTATAAAAAATATAATATATTTTAATTTTCCTTGGTTAAATAAACTTTAAATAATAATTATTATATCATATTATTATTTTATTTTAATAATTATTTATCTTATAGACTTTTATATATTATATATTTTATATTGTAATTTATGATAATTATTATAGTAACTTTTTTTCTAAACAAATATACTTCTTATATATTTGTTATATTATAAAAATATTATTTTATTAAATTCGGTAATTAAATTTTTTATTATGAACTCATATTTTCATATTTTCAATAGTTCAGTGATCAGATTTTAAAAATATTGATTTTAAATACTAGATCATGGTCATATATGACTATTATTTTCAAAACCAGATCTGATCGATTCAATCGATCTAATCAATATAAAATTCAATTTGTTACTTTCATATAATCGTATTTTAATTAAATAGAAATAAAATCGGCTGAAGGATGTGAAAATTAAATCATAACATGTTTTATTAATTAAATTAAATCATAACATATAACATGAGATATATAATATGAAACTTTTAACACGACTTTTCTAACAAAATTTTCTAACAAAAATTATTTTAGATTCTAAAAAATCATTCTTGACTCAATATAATATAAAGAAGTTAAGTTTTGATTATAATACTAAAATTTTAATATAAAATCATTTAACAATATATTTAAACCCTACCATATAGATATAGATGATATATATATAAAACTTCCAACGTCACTTATTATATGTTATAAAAAAAAGTTTTATGATATAGAAAAATGTCTTCAAAGTATATATCATACTGATTTAGTAGATGAAAATAAACAAATTTGTCACAGAAAAAATGTCTGAAGCATTCATAATATTAATCATTGGTACTTATTTATATTTTCTTTACGACGGAAACATGTATTTTATAACAAAATAATGCTTATAAAATATAATGAAATATTTTATTTTATTGATATATTTTATAACAATGTGTGCATCTTAAACTTATATAAAATTATTATCTTTTAAAAGACACTTATTAATATATAATTTAATTTGGTTAACATGTGTTACGTGTAAAAATTAAAATTTGATGATGATCCTATATTTTAAAATGTGTTATGTAGTGTATTATTATATTAGATTAATTAACTAATGAAATAATTTTGATCTGATTAAAAATTTTTAAAAAATGTTTATATAAAAATAATTAATTTAAAAAATAAAAAATGATAAAAATTAAAAATACATTTTTAAAATTTAAGTTAAAAACAATCAATAAAAAATAAAAAAATAATAAAAATATTTTTTAAAATTTATTTTATATTAGTGAAATTAATTTATATTTCATATTTTATAATTTAATATATAAATTATAAAATGATTATCTATTCGTTCTCAAAATAAGAATTAAAGATTTACTATTAATTTATTATCATTACTCATTTTTTTAGTAATATATGATTTAAAATAATAATTAATCTTAATAATTAGACCTTATAAAAAGTGAG